TGAACTAACACACAAAATAAGAAGAAATAACAATTAAATAACAACTGATGACATAATCCAAATAAACAATTACTTAACAGAAGAACTGAACAGAAGAACTAAGCCTAAGTTGGATTGTGTGGTAAAAAGTAGCCCGGTAGGGACTAGAGAATATAGAAATAAAGGGAGTCAACAGCTATTAAAAATGAATGAGTTGTCATGCATTTTTCAAGACATCTAAAAGTCTAAGTAAGCCAATAAAAAATGGGTAATTCCACATGAAATATTGACTTTGTAAAAACAACCTTTATGGAGAGGCAATCTTTGACGTCACCTCAGGACTGTTCCAACGACATATGGGGGGGGGGTGAGGCAAGATTTTCATCTCTTACTTATCAGACAGCTTAAGCTTTAAGTCATGTTTTTCCAGATTTCTAAATGATGGTTCACGGTATTGTCCCCCTAGCCCCTCCCCCTCCACGTATATTGTCCCTCTACCCCTCCCTCTCCCCGTAGATTGTTTTGGTTTGGTCCTGAATGTCTCGTTGCGGTCTTGTGTATTTAAGAGCGTGTAAGTAAACACTCGTGCGCAGCGCACACTGGGAAGACCCGGCCAGTCACCTGTGTAGTACTCCGTCACGGCGGTCAAGTCTGAGGCATATTACCTGTCCTTGTCGTACCACACACCTGTCGTACTTCACCGACAAACACCTGTACACCCGGGAAGGAGTATGGAGGCGTACAGGTAGCGCAGGTGAGTTTAACGAGTGGCTTTCTACACATACCTGTTCTCCTGTCATACGGAACCCGCCCAAGCCTTAAAGCCTCGGTCACAACCCGCCGTACGTGCATCTGCGTGCTGTCTACGTGCAAATACGTGGGCAAATTTTGGGGATCCGTAAGTGGTGCGTTGACTGTACTGCTCATGCCAGTCCTTCCTCACGTTTTCAGAAAAACGTAGCAGACGTGGCCTCCCCAAGAAACGTACGGACAAAAAGCACGCACGGTGGGTTGTGACCGAGGCTTTACCTATAGCTAGCGTGCAAGCACGGCGGAGTATGAACCAACACAAGACTGTGTAGATAGACAACAAACAGCTGGCAACATTTTCGTTTGTTTCTCCGACATCACGAAGCTTGAAAAGTTGAATCTGGCATGGCAGCTGTACACTAACGACACGTTTTCTAGAGGCGACTGGGTGAATCGGTGACAAGGGCATAGTTGTGAAATGGTGCGTAATTATGTATTCAATCCACGGAACACGAGAATTTTGCTCAAGTTTTTCTATATATATTACATTGAATCTTTTGACTTTTACATCGTATAATTATTTCTTCGCCTACCAACTAATTGTACAATACTAAAAGAGAACTTATTGAGAAAGAAACGCATGATGTTGTCGCTAACAGACGTTACACGCTGACGCAAATATTCGGATTGGGTATGGAACAGAGGGTATTTAAAGACGAGTCAAAGCCGTGTGTCTCCGCTGACAATGCCTGCGGCGATTCGTAGAACTCGTGTCAACATTTGAATTTGCTTGTTCGGCCAGGCATGGCATTTGTTCGTGATGGTATTCCTGTCTACTTGCAAGTGAATTTAAGTACCTCAAATGCTAGCTTAAAAATGATCCACGAATGCGATTTCAGTTACGGGACCGTGCGAAACACAAAGCAAAGATTTCATTTCAAATCCATCACTGAACAAATTTACTCTCCATTTATGCATTGAGTTTAATGTGTACTATGAATAGGGCTCTTGAATCATTTATTTAATGTCCATAAAAAGCGTCATCGTAGGTTTGTTGTTGCAAAACCAATATCATTTCAATGGGTAAACTATAGATTTTCGGGCTGTGAAATGAAACCCTTTTGTTATCTGTTGACAGTAAACATTGAAGTGTTTATGCCCAAACCCTTATTGCACTGAGCTAGGTGTGGCGGTCATTAATATATGTCCGAAGCTAGACTAGGATCATATAAAACGGGTCAGTGCACGTTGCATTAAGTTATATCATCTTTCTTCCTTTTTTTCATTGTGAATTCTGATGGCTTTAAATTTGAGTAAAGCCAAGGACTTGGAGAAAATGTAATCTTCTTGGCCACACTAGCGGGACAAACTAGCGGGAAGCTACATTCTGGGGCTAAAGTTTTGTCTCCAAATTTCAACGAGGTGGGATTGCCAACGTTCTTCTGCATGACAACAGAATTATACCCTTTAGAACCTCGAAAATTACATGAAACTACTGCAGGCCACCCAAGACAGAAAGTTTCTCAATATACACAATCACAGAACGTAAAGATCGCAACAGATCGCAGTTTGCATAATATTTACGTCATGCTTTCGTCATGTTGCTGTTGAGTGGCTCTTGGCGTGTTCAAAAACAACCGCGGTAAGAGACCGAGATGGGGGATTAGGGGGGGCCAAAACACGCAAATTACTGACCTTTTGTTAATTACTGATATGACTAAATACGTACATGTTTACATAAAAACGACGAGTATTCATGATGCTAAAAATGATGATGCAAATCTAGTTTTATGCCTGAATGGGATAGGGTTAGGTTTCTACGGTTCTGGATAATCTCTGCGTATCCAAGAACGTACATTTGCCCCAGACACGGTTCTGGATAAAGCACGGTTCTGGATACAATTGGAGCTACAAGCAGTAAGATAAGTACACAGACGACAGCAACGTCCATTTGATGTCTTTGTATCTACTATAACAACGACATGCTTGAAGTATGCGTTTGTTCATGGTATTGCAGTTACACAGTAGTACTGCAGTCTGTGCGACGATAAACACAATTCTTTCCTTACAAACTGTAGTTGACTACGCACCATGTCATGACTTTGTGGTATTTTCCGCAAAAACACTTTTAAAGCATTGATAGTTTCACGTGGCAATTTGTCGCCCGGCCAACGACATTGAACCTTAACGAGAAAAAATAATACATAAAGCTTTCATATTTAATTGCAAGATTTAGCATGTGGCGTCGTTTCCATAGAAGGTGTTAAGTTGGCGAATCACATATTCAAGAATAGGAAAGCTCTTTTCAAATTGAGAACGATCATTTACTGGTAATCGAAAATGCTCTTTGATTCCAAAAATGATAGCAGAACTTTAGGTTCCAAAACATGATTTGGAATACATTTGTACTTCGAAACAGCATGTATGTTGTGTCCCAAAACGTTGCCCAGATATATTTAACACTGCATTTTTCTAGACAGAGCTTGTTTTTCTAAGCTGGTCAAATGTTTGCAAAGAGCCCCAGAAACAGTCACGGTTCGACGCCGCTGTACGTAGGTAGCCAGCGGTATTCTGTCTGAGTTCTTTCGGGGCTTTCGGGAGTTTTTAATGGTCAACTATTCAACTACAACCGCGTGAAACTCCTACCAGGTGCCTTAGTGTATCCAAAACCGAGTTATATATAGTTCTATGCCTGAATGGGCTAGGCCGGTTAGGATCAGGCACGGTTCTGGATAGTCTCAGCGCACCCAAGAACGTAGATTTGCCCCGGTCACGGATCTGAATACGCGTTGACTATCCAGAACCACAGATGAGCGTGGTTCTTCTGGACACAACACGGTTCTGGATATCCAGGCATATTGTATCCAGAACAGTGCCTGAGCATGTCTCTGTATAGTGACGGTTCTGGGTACAGCATGTCTAGACCCACGGCCCGTGTGTAGTGAATCTGTGCCACGTAAAACCGCCCAGGCGTGACCGATCCGTAAGTTGTGTAAACGCAAAAGTCGACACCTGATACGGACCTTACATGGGGCTGAAGCTCGCTCGCTGAAGGGAGCGGCCAAAACACCATGGACTAGTCTGTAATGTAAGTATATATGAAAACATCGGTGTTAAAGACAACATACATCAATCAGAAAGGATTAGACCCTGCCCTAGCAGCAACTTGAGACAAATACGTGATGATCTTGCATTCTACTGGTTTAGTAACGCATATAGCTTGTACTTTGTTGATGACATTGCATGCTAAAATAAGGCAAGGTTCAACCTTTCTGCCAAGCATGCATATGATGCTAGCATTGTTTGCTATGAATATGCTAATCTAAAATGCTGCTAGAAAAAGACAACTCAGGAAAAGTAAGATAGAGGACAAGCGCAGATACGTAAAAAAACATGGCGTCAGTAGCGTCAGTAACGTGTGACCACTTTTCGCAAGTGACATTTTCCCTTTTCTAAAAATTATCAAAGAACTTGAATGAAGCAGGAGCCTAAACCTCTGCTACCAGTAGCCAGGCTACCCTGCGTGGGTGCGTCAGTCCCATACCTGCCGCCCGCCTGCCTGTGACCAGGCTTACAGTTCACCCACACTCCGTTAAACTGTGACCACACTGGGCCCTGAACCGAGTCCGCACCACCCCTGCTGCGAGCTGAAGAAATAGTTTTCCCCTTCTGAACATAGTCCAACGTAGACAAGCTAGATCTAGCATATCTGGAGTCCTGTGTTTGGGTTATGACATGCACGCTACAGTGTCATTGTACTCTACCCGAGTTACGTCATCTTTAGAACGCTTGGCACGGTGTCTCTAGATACAGGTAAGAATTGGGGAGGGGGGCTTTAATGAAGTTATGTAGGGATTGTGTTACAACTGCGGTATTTTCAAATGACTCCTTACGCTAAGTTGCTTACTTACCTTAGATCTATTGCCAAGCCTTAACTTGGGCATAGGCCACGCACTAGGTCACTCCATCTGGTGCGGTCCTGGGCCCTCTCTACCAAGTTCATATACAAAAGGATCAAGATTGTCCGGATTTGCAAGTCCTAATGTTGTACGTATCTCAAATGAAAAATTTTCCGATAGAGTGTGCCTTACGATAGCATGGATTGCAGACTGTTCCCTGGGCCAGTAAACAGGCCAGTCCCCGGTTGTTTACCAGGGTCTAATTGAGGAGGTCTGTAGCAAAATTGTCTTATACGAAACGGTCTAAGAAGTAAAATAATTTGAAAAGACGACTTCATGTTTATATATTTCTCATTGTAGTGTCAGACCTGTGATCCACGATGCCACCGTTCCGACAAGAGCCCGACCCCCGGGCGAACACCCCACCCCCTCGGGCGCGCTCCTCCCTGTGGGAGGCGGTGTTCCGGAGGAAGCTGATCGGGCCGGCCACGTTCCGGTCCCCGCTGCGGAGATGCCTGGAGTCCCGGGACCTGATGGCCCTGGGGTTGGCCGCGGTGCTCGGGACAGGGATCTACATCACCGTGGGTCTGGTGGCCAGGCAACACGCAGGTAGGCGTCCAACTTTGTGTGTAGCAATTTGAACTTCTAAATTTGAAGTCTAAAAGTGCATCTAGATATCACTTTTTAATGTGACTGAGAGCAATAAAATGGACTTATTGCCAATGGTATATACCATAATGTTACTACAAAGGTTGCCAACCAAATGCATATTGTTAACCTTCACATTGTCCGCCAACAAACTACTGCTCTGTTTATTCTTATTCAGGCACATCCAACTTGCTACATAATGTAATCTAACACCACAAGGTGTCTGCTACAACATCAGTTACCATAGTGACAGACGTCTGGTCCAGGTCATTGGCCTTATTTGTTTAGAGAAGAAGAAACGGAACAAAAGCAATGTGTTCTTCTGCGAAAACAAACATGAATTAAATTTTGTTCTTATGTCCATATAGGTCCAGCAGTGCTAGTGTCATTTGTGGTAGGAGGCCTGGCAGCGTTCCTCACCAGTCTATGCCAGGCAGAGTTCGGAGCTAGGCTCCCATTGGCCGGCGCCACCTACACGTACATCTACGTCACGGTGGGTGAACTGTGGGGCTTCCTGATTGGCTGGAACACTGTGATGGAGCTGACGGTGGCGCTGGCGTTCGTCGGTCGCACCTGGAGTTCTCACCTTGACGCCCTGTGCGGCCACGCCGTCAGTACGTACCTCAAGACCCACGTGGCCACCTGGGACCTCACACCTTTAGCCGACTTTCCTGACTTTTGCGCGTTCGGCTCTGTTCTGCTAACTGTGTTGTTCGTCATAATAGGAGCTAAGATTTCGACGTGGATATCCGCCATCTTTATTTCAATCAACTTTGTCGTCATCGTTTGCGTCATCGTGTCCGGCGCGTTCGCGTCGCACCTGGGAAACTGGACAGAGGCGGAGTTCGCGCCGTACGGGTGGGAGGGGGTCATCACCGGGGCCTCCATCGCCTTCAGCTGTTTCACCGGGCTCAACGTCATCCTGACGTCAGGCGAGGAGACCCACGAGGCCAACACGTCACTTCCGGGATCTCTCATCATGACGGTGGTGACGTCACTTCCGTTGTACATCGGCGTGGCCGTGATATTGACAATGCTGGTGCCGTGGGATTCCATTGACGTAACGTCGCCGCTACCGAGCGCTTTTCTGAGCCACGGACGGAACTGGCGCTGGGCGTGGTACCTGACGACTGTCGGGTGTCTGTCCGCCATGATGGCTGCACAGGTTTGTTTGAATCATTGTTTGTTCATGAGAAGCTCAAATATGCCTGCAGTCCGCTTTTCATTGAGGTCATGAGAGAGAAGGGAAAATTTGTAACAACTAGAAAGCTAGGTAATAACATTTGCAAAGCAACTGCATAATGTTCACCTTCACATGGTCTAGCCTAACAAACTAATGGTCTGTTTCTTCTTACTCAAACACTGCCCTGCAACGTGATGTAACCCAAAACCACCCGCTGTCTGCTACAGCACCAGTTACCATGGTGACAGACGTCTGGTCAACAGAGCAAAAACCTCTGAAGATGCATCATTTAAAGTCCTAATAGATCTATACGTAAATCTTTACACATCCAGGTGGCCATTTTAGTCGCCCTGTCGCGGACGGTGTACTCTCTAGCCACGGACGGGCTGCTCTTCTCCTTCTGCGGTAAGGTGAGCCGGACGACGCAGGTGCCGGTGGTGGCGGCGCTTCTGTTCGGCGGGGTGGCGGCGTTCCTGTCCCTGGCGCTGGACGTGGGTTCCCTGGTGCAGTTCGCCTCCATGGGGTCTCTCCTGTCGTACGTCGTGCTGCCGATGTGCTCCATCATCTCCCGGTACCAGCCGCCCTTACCGCACGAGATCCCGCACATCCAGTATCAGTGGGTAGGTAACATCGTAATATAGTGAAGTATTGATGTAACGTAATATAGTATCGTATACATATAGCAAAAGTATAATCATGTTAACCTTCACATGATGTAGCCTAACTACTGCTCTGTTTATCCTTACATTTATACACATTTACATATGTGGTGACACAAGTCCTGCAACTTGCAACATAATGTAATCCAATACTAGAGGGTGTCTGCTACAGCACCAGTGACCATGCTGACAGACGCCTGGTTCAGGTCATTGACCCTATGCGTTTGTAAAGGAAGAAGAAACTGAACAAAAACAATATATCTTCCTTTTGCGAAGGCAAACATAAGAAAGTTGAGTTGCTCTCTGGCGATCGTTACCAATAGACGTGTATTTATTACAGGTGCAACAGCAGATGCACGAGCATGCGTACGACACCGAACCGCCTCGGGTGTCCTCGGAAGACTTCGTGGCCGAGTTCGGCCCGAGATTCCGACGAGTCGGCGAGCTGAGGTCCACGTCACGGTACTTAGAATGCATAAAAAACCTCCCCGCTGGTCACGTGGTCACCACGTGCATCCTGTCCCTCACTATCGTGCTCGTCGGCTGCAGCGTCCTGGTCAAGCATGCGCAGTGGGAACCCGTGACGTCACATTGGTGGGTGTTCTTCCTGCTGACGTTGTTGCTGGCTGCCATGGCAACCATTCTGGCCGTGATCTTCGCCCATCATCAGAACGAGGACATCCCGACCTTCAGGGTAAGGGACAGGGAGAAAAAAGGCCTCCGCCCCTGAGGCGTCACCAAAAATGCACAGGATTGGAGTCTAGAATATGTTCAAAATGACAAGAGGGGAAAATATGCGTCAGCTATACCTATAAAGATAAAGTGATGATTTTCGTGAAATCTAGCTTTTAGGTCAATGTCACCGCCAATTTTATTGTTCGTTTAATGCAGCTCAGTGCACTCTAGGTGCTGCTACATGTGTGTGCTTTGAACTGTCTTTATGTATATATGCAAATCGCCCATCTAACTCCCAGATTAAGAAACAGCAAAAGCATAAAACATACATCTAGACGATGAAAGACGGAAATATGCAGACAAAAGTCCATTTTCACCCTCTAACCTGTGTTGATGTTTCCATAGTTACGGCTGATCCCGTTCGTTCCGGCCCTGACCCTGTGCCTGAATGTGCTGCTAGTTGTCCACCTGGACGGAAAGACCTGGGCGCGCTGTGCCATATGGATAGGGATAGGTGAGTAGTCCCCCGATCATTACCTCCGGGGAAGGAGATATCCTTCCGCGTTAAGGTACTGTTTTCGGTCGTGTTTGTGTGTTCGCAGCTGTAGCTCACGGTAGATTCGGCGGATTTCTTTGATTTTCGGTATATGATTAGTTATTGGGGTCCAGATGATGTGGTAGTTTTTTTTCTTTGCATTTGTATTTTCATGTATTAAAATAAGATAATTCGACAACCCTGTGCTGTATGTGGTGTGGTATCGTCTATCAAACAGCTGTTGTCCACCAAGCTATACCAAACTACTAGGCAAATATATATAAGCATCGAGATTATAGAAAATGGCCAATTGGTACATCTTGAGCTCATATGTCGATTTTATTACTTGTTTTACAGGCCTGTTATTGTATTTCGGCTACGGCTTTCGCCACAGCAAGGCACTGACCCAACCACACGCACCCCTTCCCGAAGAGTGGATCCGTCCGCCCAGGGGAAGGCTTTTCCACAGGGAGGACTTCGTGTTGGTGGAACAGCCACCTTCCCGTATAAGGGATGACGTAGTTTTGTTCGATAGAACCGTGCGTGATGACGTCACGGCCATGGTGCGAGACGACATGCTGAGGAGCATTCCAGAGGACGACGATGACGAAGAAGAGCGCCCCCTATTGCCCGAGGGGTGGAACCGCAGGGGAAAGAAGAAAAACAGAGGGGAGCATTTGGAGAGGGACCCAGTGGTGTTTTACGACTCAAATATTTAGATTTAAGAGTGAAATATTGAAGAGATTATTGTTTGCTAGAAAGGAAAGGCATATTTATTTCTATGCAACCACTTGTGCAATAAAGAGGAAGTGACGTATACGTAGTTGTCTCTTGTTCTTGTAATGTAATCCAACACCACAGGGTGTCCGCTACAGCACCAGTTACCATGGTGACAGACGTCTGGTTCAGGTCATTGACCTTATGTGCTTGGAGAAGAAGAAAAGAGCAAAGACCTTCTGTGAAGGTAAATATTACAATGATAAACCAGAGATTCATCAAATGCTCTTTTTCTTCGAAGATTTATTTCTATATTACTTGAACATCTCTTTTAGCAATTCTGCTATCATAAATGTAATCTATGACAAGGTCTTTGATATACAACAGCTATGTTTTTTTCTTATAATAGCTTTATTGAAATTACTTGCTAAAGATCTACTTTTAGGACATGTAATTTTGCACTTGGGTAAATGTCGCGTTGCAGACAATATTGCACATTTTAAAATCCACGTTGAAGTGTCTATCTCGAAACTAACTTCTATTCCTACCGTCTTGAGAAGCTGAATGGCGTAAATTCTTATATCTTAGAAATCCTGTAAAGCCTCACACAGCAAACGTGAGACACTTGTGGTGTTTATGCCGCTTGCCCACGTGACTGGGGATGACCTGCTCGTTGAAGAGCGCATGCGTGGAGATGGGCTGGAGTAGAATGGCCTCGGTCTCGTGTGGCTGGTATCCCCTTGCGAACCGCTGGGTGGAGTGGCAGACACCGTAGAACAGGTAGTTCAGGATCCCTGCAGTGAAACATTCAACAAGACTGGCAATGAAAACATACATTGCTGTGGCGACAGTGATTGCTGTTGGGGTTATCGTTTGCATGGCACAGCCATGATTTCATGATTTTGAGGATGCCTTGGTACCCTCCCCTCCCCTGAGTGTATAGTGAACGAGCCCATGTATTTCAAATAAGTTCCTTTTTTCTGCGAAGATAAACATGACAAATGACGGTGTTACCTATAGCTATCCACCCTCCGTACAGGACCCATGTCTTGTCCTCCAGCCCCACCATCATGGCGGAGGTCCCCACCATGGCGAGCACGGCCAGCCAGGGCATGAGCGGCGCCCGGAGCACCAGCCCGCCCCGGCCCTGGGGCAGGTACAGCAGGACCCCCACCGCCCCCAGCACCGTGGTGGTCAGCCCGATCAGCACCAGGATACCCCACACCTGTAAAAAGTCAATGTCATATTTTATTGCACAACGATTGTAACAGGCACGGTATGGCAAGTTCTTGAGCAGTACTAAACCTAACCTTTCCTAACTTGGGTCTAGGTAAGTTAAGACCTAATTCTACGCTATTATATATGAGTGATACAATATATGAAACATGTGATACATATATATATATATGAAACATGGATATCTAACAAGGGTCACAGTCAGATGCCTTCATCAGGCAATGTTATATTCTCAGTGCTACTCATTGCCGCATGGTGGCGTTGCAGCAAGGAGAATGTGGTCCCAAACGTGACTGAGTCTATACACTCTCCTTTTTTGTTTGATCTTACATTAGTTGACGGCCGCGGCATTACTAACTTTATTTTTGAGCCATTTGTTATGATACGATGAACATACTGGACAGCCAACGGAAAATTACATTTGAAACATTGATTTTCTCTTGAAATCAGAATTTTTCAAAGCCGGAAGCTGTGCTAAAATTTCTTCGGGTGTTTTGACATGACAGCATACCCACCTGATAAAACACTTGATCCGGGAACCTGACGCACACCGTTGCCAGGGCAACTAAGCTGGCAACGGACAACAGCACCATACAGGTGGCGATGTATCCCGTCATCCTCGTGGGCACTACGTATTTCCGCATCCGCTTGTACAGGGGCGTGGCCTGGGCGGGGCCCTTGCTAGCCAAGTTGCTCGCGCGGCGTCTGTAGGCCTCCATGATGGCATAGATATCCACTTCATCTTCGTCTTCATCTTCATCATTCTCGTCCCCGGAGCTTTCTGCGCTAGAGTCCGACAAGGCCCCGGATGTAGCACCCTCGGTGTGGTACGTCACCTGTTGTTCTGCATGTGACGTCATCTGTTCGACCTCTAGAATCCCTGCTGACCTTTCCGAGTCGCGGTGACGTGTGCGAACGACGTCATTCTTGTCCGCGTCACGTGACAGCGCGCTGCCATCGTCCTCTACACTAGTCCCGCTCACTTGGTAACGCAGGATGATGACGCATGCGCAGGAGATCGTCTGGACAACAAGACACGTGCTGGCGCAAAGCTGTATCAAGTCCGACTGCCGAAATCCTAGGGATAAAAAACCGACGAAAAGTCCCGCTAGGGCGATTCCGACCACCGGTTTCGTGGTCCCGGCTCGCTTCCGCAGACAATAAGTCACCAGACCGTCGTTTGCCATGTTCTCTGCGAGTTGTGGGATTCGCCACGTGACAAATATCAAAGCGACCGACAACATTGCCACCTGCCAGATTGCTACAATGTATGTAGCAAACTTGGCTCCCGCTACAGCAAAGGCACTCGGGAGCGGGGCGAAATGGTCCACCTGAGACCAGGGTGAGAGATGGGATTGTACAACGGTGACTAGGGTAAAAGATGAGACTAACGCGAAAGGAGTTGTAACCAGGGCTGCCCAAACGTTCTGTCTCTTGGTCCCTTTCCGTTCCACTCCCGCCCGAGCCAGTTCTTCGAATCCGAAGAATCCAGGAGACAAGATGGCCGCTCCAGATGCTACCTGCGGACATTAAAGAGATCAAACGTAAATGAGGTACAACTGGACAGGTAACATTTGAAAAACAAGTAAAATCTGAGATTTTATACCTCCGGGATTTTTATTGTATATTTTTATATGTTGTTTGTTACTCCGTGAAGGAGGTCAGGACCTCCGGACGGAGTGTTGTAATCGGCTGATTTTTCATGTTCGCAGTCAAAACACTGGGTTCTCTTTGTGTAATCGGCACGCAATTTTATACGCCGTCTGCGGGCATGCCCGTGTTGATGCACGAATGTGTATTTTTGCCGTTGCTGCTTTCGCGGTCAATGTAATATCGCAGACGCACCCCTACAATTAAGAGGCGAATTGGAATGGTCCAGAAAAACGCGTTGTTTGGAATAGCAGTGGGGTTCAAAAAAGTTCATGCAGATACGGGGTGGTTTTTATAAGTGGTTCCAGATGTTTTTGCCCATGGTTAAGAGATGCCAAGTTTTTTGGAAGATGTTCGCAGCCAAAACGCATTCTTCCGTACGTCGCATTTCTGTGTAATTTCGCATGTGGTGTTGCATTATGTCCGGAATGATGCACGTCTTTTTATTTTTACCGTAGCTGTTTTGATATTGGAGTAAATGCTTATTTTCGAAACATCCCCATTTCTTTGAAATGGTTTCGTCCGTTTATGCAACTGTTACTGCGCTAATGACGACCAGTCGCGCTGTCCTGATACACCGCGAATGTGCGAGTGTTCCCTGTAGACAGTCCCGGGAGTCATTTTTTTCGCACATTCCAGGAGCCAAACCAAAATACGTTCATGAACCGAGTCCAAAAAACCGAAACGTGAAAATCGGATGATCGGACCTGATGTACATTTCTCTTTCTATAGATTGTACACACAATACACACATCTTTAGATAATCTGGCCATGGCAGGTTAAAAAAAAGTAACCCTGAATCATACTAGATTAGCGTAAATGCATGTTAATGCGTTCAAAACAAGAAAAAAATTGTTTCCGGGTATTAATCTCTTGAATCACGGCGCTGAATATTGACGCAAAAATATTTCGGGCATCGCGCGCCCTTCCCGCGTCACGTGTAGGCATCTCGCATCTCTGATTGGTTGTTGCGTCTTAAGATGACTGAGCCGACGCGCGTTTAAACAATTTTTCTTTGTTCGATTTATCACACTTCACAGAGAATTGTCGCCAATGGCTACTTCTTTTTGTTGCAATATATAATACTTCACGGAGAATTGTCGCCTATGGCTTCTTGTTGGTGTTGAATTTTGTGCACAACAATTGTTGCGCCCCGCAGGACTAGGGTTTTAAACAAAGAATTTATCGAGAACGGACACCCCTCTGTGCGAGGGATCATATACGTGGACCAGACCGAGAATACCTTAAACACGCCAAAGGTCAACGGTTGCAACCGTTTTCATGCTCAAAAGGGGTGTCCTGGGGCCACCAAAAGGCACCATTTTGACGCCCGAAAACACAAATACAATAAAAACAAAAGAACGTGCATCATCTACAGCCCAATAGCAAAACATACACAGAGTCCCCAAAAAATCCGTCCACCCAAACGCGAGAAACAGCTGCGAACATGAAAATCTAAATCTCTCACAAACCCTTCCGCGGAAGGATGTCTCCTCCCCGGACGTAATAAATGCATAATGTTTACATTCGTATGGCCTAGCTTAAGAACCTACTGCTATGTTTATTCTTTATACTCAAACACAATCATAATTATATACTAGTATAAGGTGACCCGCCCCTCTAGGTCTGTCCTGCAACCTGTAACATAATGTAACCCAACACCACAAGGTGTCTGCTTCAGCACCAGTTACCATGGTGACAGCAGTCTGGTTCAGGTCATTCACCTTTTAGTTTGGAAAGAAGAAGTAGCAAAAACAATATACGAGTATTTTACTTCTGCGAAGGTAAACATGATTACTCACCACACGTATAATGTCTGTTGTCATTTCCGTGTGCGTCCAGTTCGAACTTTGCGTGAAAAACAATCCGATAGAGAATACAAACACTAGCAGAGTGCCGGCCAGGACGTGGGAAATGTTCATCAAGAACTCCTGCACATCCGGCTTGAGTTGGGACGACGCCAAACACGACAAAACGCCGACAGCGAAGGCGAGAAAGTCAGGGTAGGTCGTCATGTGCGGAATCCCTCCAACGCGCATGCTCAGTTCGTCGCTCATCACGTGACCAGACAGGTAGTCTATGGTCTGGCTGAGTGCGCGTGCGCAGCAGGCAGCTCCGGTCAGTAGTTGTAGCAGGCTGGTCCAGCCGATGACGTAAGCGACGACCTCGCCGATGGTTGCGTAGCAACAGCTGTAGGTGTCCGGCAGTTCCGAACTGTCCGGGAGGACACGTAGTGCGCGTGCGCGAAGCTCCGTGTGAACTAGACCTGAAATTTGACACCAGAAGAATGAAGAGAATCAATGATTTATGATTTTATCAGAAGCTTCCGAGTCTTCTATTTTCTGTCAACATTGTCACCTTTTACGCCAAAAAGCAGTTACTCAAGCAACTGGATATGATTTTGGAAAATCATATGCAAAATCAGATTAAGTTGCTTCAGTAACTGCTTTTTAGCGAATCTTATTAACTGGATGTCTAACCTTCATCGACGTATTGTCACCAATTTCATGTCATGATTGTCTCAAATTTGATTTCTAAATCAGCTGGTGTGTTACGCCGAAAGGCGGTTATACCGGCTATACAGATACAGATAAATTGGAATATTACAATTTAGAAATTAAAAATTAAAATTATTGTTTTTCATGGATAGAGTCACATGTGTTCAGGCACAGCCCTGTCTTTCTCAAGGCAGAACATACGAGTATCTATTGATCTGTTTTAGGTACAAACACGTTAATTCATGTGTTAATATCCTGTTTGCTGCTTTTGGTGTGTGTCATTTTGGTTATACCTTTTCCCTTCAGTCGAATGTACTGTATCAATGATGCATAAACTATATAGTAAACAATTTATAGAATGACAATATAGAATCCAGCTTATGATATTATTAAATGAACGAGTACCCACCAAACACATAAAAATACATAGCATTTACATACATGCAGGAAGATAGCTGATCTAAAATCATACATGTAACGTTATATTTATGTTACCCACCTGTTAAGAGACTTGTAACGCAGACTCCTGCCAGAGACAACAGAAGAACAGGTCCGCCCACCCCCTGTACGGCAAAATATCCCGTCAGTACCACCAAGCCGAGCCCCAACTCTCCACCGAGGCCTGCCCGCAGCAGGCTCGGGACCCGGGTGGCCTTGGGCCCGACAGGCGCGCCGTCTGCTCCCGATGAGTCGGAACTGAACGGGGAATCGCTACCGGGAATCGTATCGAGCCTACGCGTACGGAACAGGGTCCTGGCTGTGTCCCGCATCCAAGCAGACATATACCCCGGCATGGCCCAGGTTTACTGTTCGTCTTTCGTCGTTTTTAAATGTTCCACTTAATCTTAGCAAACACACAAGCGTTCAGTCACCGCCTGGGGCTATTCAGAGGCAACATGCCGTAGTACTGTAACCCCCGCAAACCATGACGTGTCAACTACACAGTGTATGCAGTTTTACACCAGACAGATTAGCGTGAGAAACTTCCTCGTATAGAGCGAAATATCACGTCGGGTTTCAGGCATAGCAGTCAGTCTTGGCAAGAGTCTTGGGTCAGCGGTGCTTCTTTTGTAGTTCCCGTCTTTAAGTCTCTTCCTTCCTGTTCTTAAGACCCTCACCTGCGCTTTGTTTATACTACAGTCGGCATCGACTCAGTCTGCGTCGTCAGACTGTTGACTTTTACGAAATATGATAGTTGTAAACTGTGAAGAGTCTGAGGGTAAGACATGCACACGGCTCGTTTCTTGGTCACGTAGATCACAATTCTCACCTCTTTTTAGAAAACACGTCGTTGTTTCAGCTCCAAACACTCCCGGGGATTTCGTCCTGTGGTGCTTTACAAACTTTCACTTCACGCTCCAATTACTAAGTACTTCTCAGGTCATGTTTGAGTTGTACGTCGGACCCCTGAATATAAAACGTCTCAGCGTACCCCAGGACTTCCTAGAAGCAACGGCCACGTAAGTCGAACCGTCTACGAACCCTGGGCCACATCCGGCAACATAAATAAAGTCATATTGTCGGTATATATCCTGCAACAATGGCGATGTGCACAGCAGCTAGCGATAGTAATCTAACAGCTGGTAGAACCACTCTACCGCCCGGGGGCGGACGCCAGTGTAACAGCCTGAAGTGTGACCTCTACCGAACCAACCTGTGCTAGCTGTGTAGGTTCTGTGGCATAGAGCAATAACAACACGGAAAACGCGTTCTGTAGACCAGGAAGAGGTGAGAAAAGGATCCTAGGAAAAGGAAAACTTTTACCCAACTTGCTAGCCTATGATTCAAATGTCGATGTCTTCGTTGTTTGGCGAATGCAAGGCGCATCGCAAACTGCCAGGACTCACTGCAAACATTCGCAAAAGGAGAACAGTTTGCCACCCCTTTAGCTGACTAGTACTAACTCCCTCGGCATGTTATCTCTCTATTTGGCCGATTTCTACTCTTTCCGACCGCCTCCCGAAGCCTGGTAGAGGCTACGGGGGCGTGTAACTGCCAGAAGTTTGACCTTGCCGGACTAACCTGGAGGTTCTGTTGCAAGTAGATCAATAACAACACGGAATACGTGTTCTTCAGACCAAGGAGGTGAGAAAAAGGACAGGACAACATTTACCCAACTTGTTGGCCCGTGAAAGAAATGTCGCTGTCTTGTTTGGCGTATGCAGGGCGCATATCGCGAACTGTCACAAACTAATAGCCTCTACCAGGCTTCAGAGGTGACTGGAAAGAGTAGAGATTGGACAAATAGACAAATAACATCTAGACTATAGGTAGCCTTGTACGTACATGTAGGTACCCACGTGTCTGTTCGTATGACTAGTTATAGACCTTACGACAGTCGCTGTACTTTTGTTGTGTCAATATTAAAGTTCTCCGATATAACAGGTGGCATGTCATCTGTCCATCTGGTCAATTGCAGTACAAGCGCGCCATCTGTCGTTTATTGTACGCAGTGCAACTTTGAAAACCTCTCTCACCATCATCATCATCATGGCTGCCGAGGTTCGAAGTGAGGACGAGCTAGGGAAGAAATGGGACCGCTGTTTGGCTGATACAATCGTCAAGATGGGTAAGTACAACCTAGAAAGTGATTTGATAAGTTATAGAACACAGTGAGGTTGACAAAAGGCCTGATTACCTTCTGTTTAGCTTGTAGTTTCAGGGTTAGAGTGTGGGGAGGGGGGCGCAGTGATTTTTTTGGGCAAACCCAAGGGCATCGTGAACAAAAGGCCCGAAAAAAAATATCGACTTATATTTGACATCAATTATAATTGTATGGTACAGAATAAGGTGAGATAACAGTGCGTTTGTGTTGAATTATGCTAAAATATTCTTAATAGCTTTGAGGTAGCCTACTCAACATGGTTTGGGATTATCATAATGTATAATCATGGAATAATTAACTGACAGGTAAAATTGCAGATTGATAAATAATTTAGTATCTTTGCAATGATTTTTTTCCCTTGGCAGGCGGGGGGTTGGCTGTAGGTGTGGTGTTCTCTGTCTTCCTCTTCAAACGTAAGTAAAAATGCACAACAAACGTTAACTCTGCTTGAATATTATATTTACTGTCGTAAGTCAATCGACATAACATTAAATATTGTAACATGGACATGTAATGTATGAATACTATAGTTCGTACAGGAATTAAATAATTACAAGTTTTTCCTGTTGCATAACTCAGTCGGAGTACAAATAGATGGCTACAAGTGTGTTAGTTTCCAGGTAGCAGATTATATTGTTACAATCAAGTATTACATGTTAGCTGTAGCCTCATGATTTATGCTATACATATAGAATACAACACGGGGTATTCCGTATCGCCCGAGGTACCAGCCCGACCGCGCGTCGGATCGCCCGACGGCCGAAGGCCGGAGGGAGATCCGATCCGCGGGAGGGCTGGGACCGAGGGTGATGCGGAATACACCGTGTTGTATTTTATTTATGTCATACCCACCCAAAAAAACACGCCTTTCAATGCGAAATGAGCGAAAATTTGGTGTCCCTCAACCCAAAAAATGCAACAACATCAATTCCAACGTCCAAATTTTGTGTTCGCATTTTCGAAAGCGGTGCAAGCGGTTAGGGCGAAACGCGTTCGAATCGTTCTATGGAACATTTGGAAGGCCCGGGCTGTACGCGATAAGAACCCCCGGGCCGTACCGCTAGTTATCACACGGGCCGGAACACCCGTATCGAACAAAATCACGGCCCAGGTAGGACATAAAATCAATGTACAGTATTTACATTTATAGCGGTCATACTATACTAGTTACTACCAAGATTGGGATGTCAATGCCTCATACCTATGATCTATAAATTATATCATAATGCTTTTCCTGTAAGTGTAACCTTCATATCTTGAGTTTTCTCAGTGGTTTGTTTGAGGAAGGAGGTTTAAAATTTTAGAACCTGCCCTCTGTCTTACCCCTTCTACCTTTACTGTAGGACGGCCGTGGCCGGTGGCATTTGGGACAGGAGTGGGACTGGGGATGGGATACTCCAATTGTCAACATGACTTCAGGAACCCAAACCTGCTGCATGGAACATTCGTCAAAGTACGTCAAACTTTACTTGTTGTGTTATATTATCTCAAGTTATATGATACTAATACATACATTTGTAGTATACCCTGAGCGTGTTAAGCTACATTTGCATATAGTACTATGTCCTAATGCTGTACATGCCAATAACAATCCTAGTCCAAACTACATTGTACTTAATAATTATATAATCAAATCCATCAAACTTCAAAGTGTGTCCAGCTTTCTTTCCTTGCACTTCTGTAATACCCCTGCCGACCACTAGGAGGCAGTGCAGTTACAATACATGTACAAAATGTATTCTCTAACAGATTCTTCTTTTGCATTTACAGAAACTTGAGAAGGGAGAGAAGTAACATGACACCACAAGTAGTGATAGCAGCATGACTTGGACCATCTCTCTTCCTTAGGACTTTCTTATCATGTGAAGACAATTGTAACTTACCAAAATCTCTGGACAGCACCCTACTCCCAAAAATTCTGACTTCCCAAGATGAGATGATGCATGTGTACATTTTCCTCCCTTTGTCTACACCACCTTAGGACTAGATTATGCTAGACACTACTAGTAGATGAGTAGAATTTTCCTGTGGTCCAATACGACATTGTCTGTATCTATTATGATATTATGTTGTCACATCTTCAAGCTTGTGGAAATGATACTTGGAAGATGCTTTTGCAAAATAAGGAAAGAAAATTTCACATCAGATTAATAATTTTTACTGTCCAACTTGTACGAAGAAATAATGTATTCACAGTCTTTGACATTACCTATGTATTAATGCTCTTATATTACATTACAAGTTATTCCTTGTAATACAAGGTTCTCCAACTGAATATTACATAATAAAGGTTAAAAAGAAACATAGCTTGCCTTGTCCTTAATGTGCTAATACAGTCAAACCTGTACTAGCGGTCACCTTTGTATAGTGGTCACTCGGCCATAGCGGTCAGTTTTTGCCGGTCCCTTGAATTTTTCCCATTGACGTAAGCATTAAGAATCGTGTCTATAGCGGTCACTGTTCAACGCGGTCAGCGGTCACCCCATTCCGGTCCCGCCGGCATGTCAACACCGCCGATAGCGGTCGCGGCTGACCGTAACCCACTAAGCACCACGGCCGTAACACCACCCCACCTCGGGCTACGACCGTTATGAGCCTTGAGATAATTTTCCGATCGCTACATTACTAAAATGTGAACTGAAAATTAGACTCCATATGTGTATGAAATAAAGGAAAACTGACTTTTGACACGAAGTTTCTGCGGTCGCGGGTGTCTTTGATATCTGCGTTTTCCCCAACACCAGTGCCGTGCGTGCCGCATGGAGCTTTCAATGGACTCGGCCGCTCGGCGAAGATTACGGCAAATTATCTTTACAAAAAAACTTAAGAATATCCATATTTGGTTTCTCGATTCCTTGAAATGCGTAGATATGTGCATAGCTTCCGTTTTTCATGGGCATAATTAAAGAAATTTGGCTCGAAAATGCGTTTCGTATTTTTCCAAGATGGCGCATGTTGGCTGCAGAGGGAGGTCAATTGGGGTCATCGGAAGACTCCACTGTTATGGAGGTAGACACACCGAGTTTTATTTAACTTCATTAGCGTCAAATGACGTAATTACATTATGAAAACATTTGAAATACATTACTACAATTAATGTTAGATGTAAATTTAACACTGTAGTGGATATTTTAGAAAAGATATAAGTCTGAAAGGAGAAAATTTTCTGTTGACTACCACATTGGCATAATGGTAGAGGCAGACAACCCACGCGGGGAGAAACCCAAGCCGTAAACAAAGGAGAGTTTTCGCTAAGTTTTCATGTTCAAAAACGACCAAAAACGGAAAGTAACTGGCAACTGACGAACAATTATTTTGCTGTTAACTAAATAGACAGCATCTTGGTACAAAATAACTTATTTACGTGGTTGGAATTCGCTGTGGCGTATGTCGGTCGCGCGAAGCAAGTGTTCACCAAAGAACAAAAACATGGCGATGTCGTTCTCTTCCACTTTTCGACTAACAACAACAACTACTAGTAACGTGGCGATTGCGGAGAAACGATGGCGAAAGCGGAAAGACGGACGCCAAACTTATTCCAAAAGGTGGAAGTGATTCGACTGGCAGAGAGAGTGAGAAGAAATCGTCGAAAGCTGAGCTTAGATTAAATGATTTTGCAGTCGATAGAAATTTGTTTGGAGTTGAAAGTTTGTTGCTTGATTTGCTTTCTTTTCTTTTGCCACATGTAGTACTAGTATGTACACAAGAACAGTAAATGACAACCAGTGATTTTGTATGTTTTAAATTATGTGAATGGTTTCATTGTCCCAGAATAGATTAACTGAATATGTTGAGTGTATGTATCTTTGATGTCAAGTTAATGTTTCCATGCAATATTTCTGTATTTCTTTTTTTTTTCAAGCAAGTACACAATAAAGTACAACTAAAGCAAAAGAACAACAAATTATTGAACTAACACATGTACATATAAAAGGGGTTTACCTTTGCAAATGTATGTATTCATATATTTCAGAATAAAGACATCACTGTTGGTACTCAAAGCATGTGTCCCTTTTTTTTGGGGGGGGGGTCAACTAAACCGGCTGTTTCTCTATAGTGGTCACCTGGCCATAGTGGTCAAATTTGGCCAGTCCCTTGAGTGACCACTATAGGCAGGTTTGACTGTATTGCATTCTCAACAACTTCCTGTAATATACAGGGAGCAAAAATTTATGAGGGGTACTCAATAGCAATATTTGTTCATTTCCTGGGGGCAGAAATAGTAGAATTTGTTGATGGTCCAAGCTCAATTTCAAGGGCAAGAAAATATTGCCACCTAACTTCCTTTAATAACAACAGTAGGTGTGAGGGATTTACCACCTGCAAGAGGAATCCTTCATTGGACCAGGCAAAAACCATATTGCAACAAAAGATTTAGTTGATTGATTCATTCAAAATTGACCAAATTGAACTACATGTACAATGTATGGTGACAGGAGTCTAAATTCCTCCTGCTATAAAAATGCAACATGATGTAAACCAACACTAGTTACCATGGTGATGGACATCTGGTTCAGGTCACTAACCTTATTTCTTTGAAGAATCTGAGCAAAAACTATGTTTTCCTTCGGTAAACATAACTACAGAAACAAGCAAACGCTCACTGTCTGACGAAATAGAAACGAACCCCCCATACATTGTACACAATAAATCAAGAAGCAAAATAACTTGCACCAAATCCCCCACATAGTTATTGTATTGACTCACCCCAGTCCATATGGAAAACTTGATAAAATCTGCAAGCCGGAAGCAGTAATAACTACAGGTAAGCCTTACAACGATAAGAACAAAGTCTGTAGTTACGACTACCTCCAGCAATTATGAACAGGATTTGTTGGGTCATTAAAAGTTCAAACAAATATTGCCTCAGGTAAGAGTAACATGTACATGTGTGTGGATAAGGCCACAAACTAATCTGTAAGGACATTCCTTGGGGAGCAAGGCATTATCAAATTGGCCACCAGTTACCGTTAGAATTAAGTCAAGATCATTAATGTGTGCATCATCTATATGCATGAACTAAACTTTGAGTCAGAACTTGAGCATGTATTTCCTCTGGTACAGGATTACTACCTTATATGGTGTATCAATCTTCTACAGGCTTTATTCATGGTTGACTGTTGAGATTATAAGACATTAACTTACAACAATAATCATTAAGGAGCTCCATATTTCATGGAGTTATCCTTTAAATACTTTGTAATATGTAGCATGAAATATTTTTGGTACTTACAGCATTAATGAAAAGGAGAAAAAATCTTAAAATTGCCAAAAATGATTCTGCATGCCACCCCTAACTAGTATCTGAAATGGAACAGTCCTTTATATTTGAGTGAATTTGACCTAAGATTGGACATCAGTCACAACATATGATTCATACTTATCTGGCATGTACTTCGATTTTTATTAAGAGACTATAACAAATGTAAGGTAATCCTTACTCTTTCCCCTTCCTTGATATTATTTTCCACTTTTAGTGAATAAATTTTCCTGCTCTTTTATTTTTGTCAACTTTTTATTGACCGACAGACCCAGCCGAGTATGGTAGGGATTACAGCGTAGGCAATAAAATCCATCTCTGTCAGTGGATTATAGAATTCCTGTCAACTCTTGAAGTCTCCTGGATCTTAGTTCTTACTCAGGTCAGGTCATGCCTACAGGCTATCTGACCTGTTTGGAGACTAGTTTGTAAGATAAAACAAGTTATCAACGGTTACCTAGAATCAAGTCATTTTAAGTCATACCTTGGAGCATTGTGTAGTAGTAAAACTTGTTGGCCTTGTATATGTAGACTAGCACAAACATTTGTAGGGTAAGTTATCAACCCTGTGTTATCGACTCAGTATTGTCAATATCAACCCATGAATTGCGTTGTTTGAAAGTCATACCTTGGAACAACTGTCATAAAACTTGTTGGCCTCCAGAGTACATGCCTTGTACATGTACATGGAGACAAGCACATACATTGTAAGGTAAGTTATCAACCCAGTATTATCAATATCAATCCAGGATCAATATGTTTTAAAGTCATACCTTAACCCTTGGAACTATTATACAGTGCAACTTCTATGTTGGCCGCCATGGTACTTGACCTGTATGATACATACATGATACAGTTCTAAAACAAGATCAACAGAGTGTTATCAACCCAGTGTTATCAACCCATGTACAGGATTTTATGCTGTCTGACCAATACAGAATCTGATGCAGCCTCATGCTCACGATATCCTGACAGTTTGATCTACCTCAGTATTACCCTCAAATAGAACACCACCAGTCAAACCTGTTGGTTAGATTGTGATGGCTGGGATCGAACCCACAACCCCTGGGCGCCAGCTTACAATACGACACTCCTACTGAATCGGCTAAAAGGTCTAGACCCATCGGCCGGGTCAGTTGGTAGCTCCTATGCCCCCCCCCCCCATGCACACTGTTACAAAAAGTAAGTATTTTCCAACTCTGAGGAAATAAGTAACTAGTACAAGGCAAGCTAGTCCTGATTAATAACAGTCCAAGTGTGAATGACTTTTGCAGATTGACCATCACAAAGGGCTGAAAGTCTCTCAGTCCTGAATTTCCCCTGGGTGTCTGCTGGCTTTCATCCATCCTGAGCTACAGTCTGGACTTCAAGACCAAGTTGAACATCATCCATCAACATGCCAATGTTATACTGTTGTAAAGTTTAAACTTTGTTCCAACACAGCAGTAACACTCACCAGGAAGTTTCTGCTACAGATTCTACTAAGTAAAAACACAGAGGATCTTTTATTTGAATGGCAACATCAGCCAAAGTGCTTAGGAAAGTGAAGTGACCCGCATTTTTAATTTCAGTAAAGAATATCTGGGAAGAATTTTAAGAATAGAAAACATCATTATACTAAATCTGGGCAGTTCTAAAAAACATTATGACAAGCGACTCAAAATAAAGACTGTCACAGCAAAGTGTTGAGAAACTGTATACTGACTGAAAAAAATTATACATTTTGTATCACAATAGAAGCTGCTTTCGAGGTCAATTTGTGGCTACCTGGTCTGTACTCATGAAAACATGATTACATTAAATACTATGATAATCATTATATAATGGAGAAAAAAGGAACACTTCTTTGTAAAATTCTTTATAAAGTGCTTCATATACAAATGCAACACACAGGATAAACAGTACTGCATATGTCACTTCTTATACAAATAGAATTATATAATAGATAAAATCACCATATACAGGGATGACTTTATGATACAATAAAAGCTTTGTATTATTTACAGACAAATTTCCTATAGAAATATAATATATATTGCTGTTAAATGGTTGATAGTCAAGATATAGATTAGTCACTGTGGTAGTGCAGGAAAGATTGTATATTTCTTTGTTCTCTCTATGCCTAAAATTAACATTGATGTAGGAAAATATAGGCCCAAGCCATCCATACTGCATTTACATGTACCTGAATCTAGGCATGTTTGGGAAATAAAATTTAAAAGAAAAACTCTTTCCAAGTAAAGGAAATAGTACTGGACCAGCTGCATATTTTTATAAAAAAAAAAGAGGCATTAGGTCAATATATATACAACTTTGTGACACATCCATAACAATATTGGAATGTAGGACTTTTCAAATATAATTTTCCTATGTTCCAATGGCTATAATTCTTCCTTTGGTTTGTCCTTGCTTGCCTTCGTCCTGTGTTTTTTGAGGGTCTGTAGAATTTTCCTGGCCTGGTAGTGTTCCACCTCGTTGTAACGTTCATCTAGAGTGTACCACATGGCCAGGGCACACCTCCTACCCTTCACCACTGCCTTCACGCCATGTAGATTCTCCTCACCAGCAGAGAACCCCACCAGCCTGCCACACTTAGGCTTTACACTTGACTGTGGGTAGGGAGACATAGAAGTTGGTCAACATCAGTAATAATCCTAGCTATATCAATATACAAAAACATCAGACTGAGTCCTTTATGCTAAATATTATTAATTCATGCTTCTTAAACAGTTAAAGAAGGTTTTCCCATGCTAGTTTGATGTTTTGGTCATTCATTTTGAGTCATTATAGCCCACAAAGGTCTGACTGTTTGCACTTAGAAAGTAACCAGTTTATGTAACAATAAAGCTGATATCCAAGCAGATGTATGGTGGCAAAAACGTTGAAGATATAACTGGCCATCCAAAGAAAGTCCTCAGCCGCCCTAGATACACATAATGCTTTTGCCGCCAGACATCTGCTTGGAGATTACAGTAAATCTCCCACCTGTACAGACTCATTTGCATGTGTAAAGATGAACTCTCCTCCCTTGAACCCCTCATTCAGATACAGGATTGCACTGGAGAAGGAACAGATCAAGGTTACTAACTAAACCAATACAGAAACATTGCACTATCATCACAATGATTAAGGTCCCATAGCCTTTGAGGCTATAGAGGCAGTGGGTTGTTGATCCTCACATATGTTTACGGCACAGTACTGGAAGTTGGAGCCAGTATCCTTCTGCTGCCTTTTACCTCCCCAACTGTACTTATGAACTACCAATTTTACACCTGTGTGGAGTGAGGAAACATAACAAAGTTGTAAAAAGCTTAACAGCATATATATTATAACAATAACTGGTACTGGTGTGTTGCGCCTAAAAAGGTGGTTTACCAGTTATGCGAAACAAACAATAATCTTTTAAAAGTAAAACACCATTGGATGGAGCATTTCTTACATGAAATAATATTATGGTTACAGTTACCAGTCTGCTAGTCTGGTTACCAGACCTAGTTTAACTGCCAAATCTCTTTTGTGCAGACAGGAAGAAAGAGACTCTGCAGCTGTAGGACTGGTAACCTGGCTAAACCCAGCACGTCGGCAGAACGTACAGCACCTGCGCGAAACCCGTAATGTATTGTACATAGCACTTTGGCAGAACGTCTCATATAAGGTTGTATTCGCTCATATAAGGTAAGCATTTCGACAGTAGTTTCCAAATGTTGTGCCGGAAAAATATCTTCTGCAACAGTCAAAATTCTGATGCAACGTTGACCAAAAATCCAACGAAAAACGCGAAAATGCAGGCGCAGTACGTTCTGCCGACGTGCTGCTAAACCCCTACCTCCAGTCTCTCCAGGTGAAAGCCGGCAGTTTTTTAGGACAGGACCCATCGGGGAGAAGATGGCAGTTGTCTGCATGGATGGGGTGACTCAGGTCTGTCCTGTCATCTGTCGAGTCTGGAAAAGAGATAGAAAAATGTACATAAAAATGCCAATATCTTATGATGGGAAATTTCCATGAAGCATTTAGTGTACCATTTGTTCATGCCATTTTATAGGGGCATACCAAAATGATGAATAATGATGATTCTGTACTGTTTCTCTATTGATTTACAGATAATTCTATCATCTATGCCCTGACCCTAACCTTAAGCATCATCTTCAGCAATCTTTCACTTAAGTGACCTACATTTAAATGCTGACCCAAATGCTGCATCTTAATGCTAACCCTAATGTACCCTTAATAGTTATATTAAGCTATAACTGTAAGTGCCTTATTTCTAACCCTATCATGATATCTAGCCTTTCATCTTAGATTCATTTTTAGATTAAGGTGGCAAAAACGCTAGGGTATTTGGTTCTGGGTTTGAATCCGTAGCAGACACTGAACACCTATTTCCTCACTTCACTTGCCAATGCTACAAGTGAGAACCTAAGTATAAACCTTGGTTAGGGACATCCTCTTGAATAGGTCCCTGTTGGAGGAAAGCCTGGATACCTCAAGCATGCTAAAGATCCCAATTATCAATATGAGTAGGGGTGAGTGGATCAAACCTCACTAACCCTAAGCATCACCCTAATCCTCAGCAATCTTTAACTTAAGTGACCTACATTAAATCATAAATGCTGACCCAAAAGCATCTTAATGCTAACCCTAATGTACTCTTAAGGTAAGCTTTAATACATCTTTTAGAAACATCTTTTACATTAAGGTGGCAAGGTTGTCTTTTTGGTTAGGGATTTTGGTTCTGGGTTTGAATCCATAGCAGGCACTAAACACCTACATGTATATTTCCTCACTTTGCTTGTTACAAGTAGTCTGTACCAGTCTTAGCAATTAAATATAAACTTCACTATGGGACATCCTGTTAGATAGGACGTAAAGTTGGAGGCCCCATGTTTGAGGAGAGCCACACGGTGGTCTACCAATCATGCAAAACAAACAAACAAACAAACAAACATGACTGTGTACTCACAAGGCTCGGCTGTCCTACAGACCAGGTGTGTGTAGGTGAAGAACAGCTGATGCTTCATGTGGAAGTACCCGTGTACGTACCGCCGTGCCTTGTTACTCAGGTTCAGGTACATCTCAGCATGGTCCACAGACACCAGACCTCTCTTCGCAAGCTGGAACAAATATTATACAGGGTTCTTGTAAGACATGATATGAACAGTACACATTGCAGTTATGTTAAGACTATATATATATTAGATATATATTAGGGGATAATACTGTTTAGTTCCTGTTAGTTATTTGATTCTATTGACTACATACTGTAGTATTAGGAAGTTTGAGAGAAGGATCCCATTAAAAGAATCTTTAAATTTGGCACTGATTCATATTTTTTAGAAAGTTTTGTAAATAAAGATAATGAAATGAGTCCATCTTTTACTTTATTAACAATGCTTTGTGCATAGTAATTACATTTGTATAAAGTAACACAGACAAGCTGTGCAAGAAGATGTCAGTCTATAGACAATGATGTTAATGATGTAACAGGATATAATACAATCAGCATCAGGAATGGTGTTAAGGCAACATTGGGCCACAAAAACTTTTTTTATGGATGAAATCCTCTGGATACCCCCAAAAATTTTTCAGTGATTTCTCAATTTAAAGCAACTTGATTATACAATCAGAAGTTGCCTGATTTGTTTTATTTTTTGCCAAAAAAATTTAATCCAAAAATGTGCAGATGTTATCCATAAGCTCAAGTTTGTGTGGCCTAAAGCTATAAGCAGCAAAATAAAAACATTACATGAAGCAGCATAAATACACTGTAAATAAGAGGAACAAAACCTGACAGCCCATACACAACTGTGGCATTGGACCTTGAACACCCACCGCAGATCACATCAACAGACTGGTGCTATGGTTACAGATGTTGCCATAGCAACAGATGTTGCCATAACAACAGACAGGTGCCATGGGAACAGATGGGTGCCATAGCAACAGACGGGTGCCATAGCAACAGGAGCCTCTTGAATTACCTACCTCCACAGCTTTCAGTACGGTCAGGCCCTCAAACCTTTCGTAGACCGTGTGCGCGTGGGCACCACGGCCTTTGTACCCGTCTCCGTCCCTAGCCCCTATCTACGGGAACACATGGGAAGGGTTAGTATGGAGGGGACACAGGATATGTTAGATCATTGGCTTAAAAAACCAGGCCCTTAAATAACTGGCTGCTGAGTGATGACCTTCAAAACATATTTGACAGATTTCTCAAGGTTATAGATGAATTCTATTTCACGTTGGCAAATCAATGTGGTGGTGAGAGCCAAAAACAATCGAGAAAAATCTGTCACACAGCTCTTCATTGGTCTAGTCAAGGTTATGGCTTGAGTACAAGGTCAAGGTTTCATCAGCCAGCAGTTGAGGACAGGGTTTGTTCCTAACGCCCCCCTCCCCACAAACCTCTGCGGCTTGTAGCACTGTGAGTCCGTCGAACCTCTCGAACTCTGTGTGCACGTGTTTGTCGCCCTCGTATCCGTTCCCCTCCGTGCCTCCCTGGAAAATGGCGGACACACACATGTTCTGTCATAGGGTCAAAGGTTACTGTAGCCTGGCTGAATCAAGCTGGCTCTGCTGCTTGCTTCCCATTTGTGTGCCATGCATGTGGCTGGTATAAATGCACATGTACATTATTAGGTCATTAATTCACAGAAATTGCTTCTTAAGCACTGAAGCAAGAACAAAAGCTGGTGTGTTACGCCGAAAGGCGGTTATACTGGCTATACAGATACAGATACAGAAATTCTAAGTAAGAGGGTACTGCCCTCTAAATTTTTAAAATGAATTAGGTATCTATTTTTTCACTCACACGGCAACTCTATTACTATAATATTATCATCATTATGTGGAGATTTTATAGTGATTTTACAGTTGTATATCAATTGCAAGTACAAGGCACAACGATTCTCATTAACACTTAAAAATACTATAATTAAAGTATTTGCCTTGGCTAGATGGGATAACATCTTGCACTCCTCCTCCGATGCTATCCCGTCTGCGACCATGCGTTTGGGACCCTTCAGGTCCCGCGGTCCCTTCACCACCGTCACCCCCGGCATGTTGTAACCGTACCGCACATCTTTGGTCACACGCGGCTGGGCTGAAAAAGAAAAAAAAAACGTGTTGGAAATGTCATTAACTGTAAATAGTAAGTACAGCCTAGAACCCAGGCTACTGCCAAGGCCGACAGAGCCCAGCACCGGTAAAATTCAAACTTGCATAGCCTCCAGGCCCTAACTTAGTCTAAGAGTCAGCCTTCTTAGGACATTTTTTTTTCGAAAAGCACCTAAGTTCTCGGTACTCAGTAACAGTCAGTTCCTTATGTGCTTAGCCTGAGGAATCTGCTGAAGAGGCTGAGGACCAGTTATCTTCAAGTAGATCTTTTGGTGCCTCCAAGATGGTATCATTGGCAAGGCAGTATCCAATACTCTACGTGATGGCTGGCAAAAGTACCAGTACAAAGAAAGAAAGCCTGATAAAAATGCCTGAAATACATCAAAACTAAGCTGAAGCTTGGAGAGTAAATAACATACAAATCTTACCTTCCTCCTCCCCATCTTCAAGAATCTCCTTTTCATATTCTTCATCTTTTTCTTCCTCTTCCTCCTCTTCATTAGGCCTGGGTGGGGAGGCATTGGGCTCATCCTGGTACCAGGCATTGCCATGGAGGCCTTCAATGACGTACTGGAAGACACATAACATCAAATAGTCAGAGAAGGCCTCATAATCTGTATTCAGTATATGTTGGACATGAGCTAACAATTGATTGTTCCATACAGTTCCAGTTTTTCTGAGCTAAAGCTTTGACCCAACTGCGGATATAACTGTGCTTAGAAAATTTCAGATACTAACGAAAACCAACGACATTATATTGATGGAAGGAAAGTTCAGCACCAAGGACAGTACCATGGTGTCAGCAACTGATTGTTCTGCACAATTACACTTTCTTCCTAACCACTGACCCAACTGTGGATATAAAGCTGCACTCAGAAAAATTTAGATACTATTGGAACCAAGCAGATTCAGCACCAAGGACAGGGCCACAGTGGAGGGGTTAAACACAATGTATAACAAAAACTGCCAAGAAGATGTCAAGATTTACAGGTAGTTTCTAACCTTTTGGCAGTTACTGACCCATATACAAACCCCACACTTCCACATCAATAACATAACATAAATGTATTCCTTCTGCATATTCTGATCATAAAAGTTTGATGGAAATGGCGACCAAGTCATAACAAGACCAAGTGATAGATCTCATATATTGACAGTAAGATCGCATTACTCTGACCAAAACTCAATAATGCACCCTCCCCACTTATGAGCCTCCTGATGCAGATATTAATGGATCTCCCTGACTTAGATGAGAGTGACCTTTTAAAAGGCACGATCAAGTTGCATCTGGTCAAGCGAATGGTAGGCCAGGGAGGTTGGGGAACTCTGTGGTCATGAAGTTGTTAATCAACTGGCTTCCTGGATGGACCTTTTTAAACTTTCTCCCTGTGCTGGTCAACCCATAATCAATACAAATCCTGAGTGCTAGAAGGCTACTACTCTCCAAGCCTTTAGCCTTCTGATTATTTTCGACGTGTTAGCAGGTGTTTTTATCGTACTGGTATCTTTTTTTTGTACCAGACAAATGGGCGGCAAGTGAATATTGAACTGCCAATGATACCCTGTCTTGTCAATTATTTAATTTGATTTTGATATTGTCTTGCAGCCACCAAAAGATCTGCTTGGAGATTTAGATTTAGTGGTCAAGTGAATGGTAGGCCGGGGAGGTTGGGACTACTCTGTGGGGAAACTTGTGAACTGTGCGGTCATCAAGTTGTTAATCAACTGGCTTCCTGGAGGGCACAGGCCTTTTGAGACCTCCTCTCTCCTGGTTAACTTGTGATCAATATGAATTCTGAGTGCCAAAAGGCTACTTTAACAGGGTGAACTTTATGACTTAGGCAGAAATTTAGGATCAATTGTGGTGATTATAGAGAAAAATTGGCGCATTTCTTTTACAGCGAATGTGGGAAATTACAGCGAATGTGGGAAATTACAGAGAATGTGGGAAATTACAGCAAATGAATTACAGTGAATGTGGGAAACTACATTTTAGGCCACACCAATCGTTGGTTCTTCGATTGGCCTTCTTGCTAATATGCCACTGAGAACTGAAGCATTCGAGAACCAAGAAAATGAATTGATGCAGCCTTATCCATACTTTTTCCACAACACCACAGATGTGACTGCAATTTTCTTGTCAAAGTTTCTACTAGTAGACATTCCCAGGATGTTTTAACTTGCCATTGGGAATGCGTCTTTCCTTCAGGTCATATCCATTTGTAACTAACATACATACCTGGACCAATAAACTTCAAAAGAAAAACAACGTTCTTTTCCTCCAAGGCACTCGCTCCCCAAACCTCAGGTGATTTGCAAGGTGGAAGATTAATTGCGAGGTAAAGATTAAAGTCGTCCTAATTCTTCTCCCAAATGCAAGTTGCCCAAATTTGGTGCTGAACCCCAGGCAAACTGCAGGAGTCTGAAGACCTAAATCCACCTGCCATCCCAAAGGTCAATTAGTTGATGACCCCCTGACCATAAATTTCAGGAGCCAAGGACATTAACCCAAATAAATTCTTACCCATTCTCCTTAAGTTTTTGTGAGGGAACATTTGTTGTGGTTTTCGTGACAGCGGGAAATATACTGTGCTAGAAAACCAAGGACTTACCAAGCTTTTGCAAGGGTACATTTGTTGTGGTTTTCATGAAAGCAGGAAAAATACTTCCAGTGGTTTTTGCAGTGACCTTTCTACAACAATTTTCATGACACTGCAAATACACATTTCCAAATACTACATACTTTACAGAATTGTTCAAAGCACACTCTTCAAACACCACAAAATGTCCCTTTCCCCTACTAGTGCAAAATTATGTCCGGGTGTAAAAATAAAATCACAATTTGTAAAAATCTGGCCAACAACATGTCAAGATTCCTTCTTCAGCTTCCTTTCCCTGGCAGGCATATGAAGACTGAAGGAAACCCTGGCCTTTAATCTGACTGGAGGTCTGTCATGGTTAGTTCAGCTGGCCTCTGTGTGCCCTGTGACAAAAGCCCACAGGCTTGTGAGAGACGAATGGGCCAACATTACCAGCAGCGACTTCAAAAATGGAAAAATATTGATCTGCCCTTGCTTATCTGAGACTTGCAGCGAGTTCTGCTTTGGAGTGTGGGTGGGCTAATGCTTCTCATACATCTTCAAGTTCATATCTCACTGTTGTCTGTGGACAATTTTTCATGACTTGTACTGTAGGGTGGCTCACCTGTAGCAAAAGCTATTTATAGCTGTTGTACATCATAAAAGCCAGCCTTTTTATGCAATAAATTTAGTTTAAAGAAGTTCTAGTTTGACTTGTGGGTGTGCTAATAGTTCAGTTCAGTTTCAGTTTTTATTCGCACTTTAAAACAAAATGTAACAATACAGATACAAAAAGAATATAAATGAAATGTAACAGTGCAGGGAGGCCGGAAGCATAAAATGCTTATGAGGAGGCCTCCCTTCATAACTTAATTAACAATTCAAATAAATCGGATAAATAAGAAATAACTTACTAGGTAACGGGTAAATGAAACAAAACAATAAAATACAATACGATACAATACTATCTACAATAATGAAAAGTAGTAATGAAAAGTAGTAAACAAGGAAAATTAAACAAAATTTAAGAATGTGTGGGGTTATTTATGAAAGTTGCTTTAGTATGATTTTTGAAAATGGTGACTTCAATACATCTCCAATTTCATATCTCACTGTTGTCTGCACAAGATTTTTCATTCCTTGTCCTGAGGCGAACACTATTTATAGCTGTTGAACATCATAAAAGCCAGCCTATTTATATGATGAATATAAGGATTCTAGTTTGATATGTGGAGATATCCAATGTAATACTTCAATACATCTCCAAGTTCATATCTCACTGTTGTCCACAGGCGATTTTTCAAATCTTGCCCTGTAGCAAAAGCTACTTATAGCTGTTATACATCATAAAAGTCAGCCTTGTATGCAATGAATATAAAAGATTCTAGTTTGATGTGAAGAGATATCCGATGTAATACTTCAATACATCTCCAAGTTCATATCTCACTGTTATCTGCAGGCGATTTTTAAAATCTTGCCCTGTAGCGAAAGCTACTTATAGCTGTTATACATCATAAAAGTCAACCTTGTATGCAATGAATATAAAGGATTCTAGTTTGATATGTGGAGATATGCATGTAATACTTCAATACATCTCCAGATTCATATCTCACTGCTGTCTTTGGGCAATTTTTCATCCATTGTCGTGTGCCCTAAGCTATTGTACTAAGTTGATATAAGTTTTCATGTGATGGGTATAAAGAAAGTTTTTGCTTTACATGAAGATGATACATTGATACAAGTTCTTACCTCTCTGCTGTCTTTGGGCAATATTTTTGCATTAATCCCATATCCAAAGCTGCATTTAGCTGTGACATATCATAACCTAATTCATCTACCTGTGATGATGTTCAGAATAAGATAAGTCTTGTTTTATGTAGAAAGCAGCTGAAGGCTAAGTACTAAAAAATTTTATAGGAAAGAGGACCTAATCTTTTGATTGCACTTCTCCCATCAAACTGCTTCATGTCTTGAAGCAGTTTCGTTCTAACTCCTATCTCTTCCAAGTAAAGTAGGTTAACTTTTTTTGATCAATCCTGAGTCCTGACCATCAATCTTACTCACCTCATCCCCGAAGTTTTTCTGGATGTCCTGTAGCAGTTTGCGCTCTAACTCCACCACCTCGTACACGGCTGCAGCCTCTGGTCGCACCTCCAGCATGTCCTCACTGGCCCAGGACAGGGAGAGGAAGTAGTCCACGTTCTGGGTCATCATGGGGTCCGTGGGGTAGAAGATCAGGTACGTGGCAGCGTTACGCATCGCGTTGGGCCAGTCTTTCACTGTAGTGGTGAGAAGAGGAAAAACGTCAAAGTACTGCAGGGCTTGAAATCCTTTTTTTCCCCTTCATACCCATACTAGTGCAGGTAACATTGAACATTACCTAGCCCAGACAATTTTTTTCTTTATATACCTGCACCAGACAAATTTAACCTGCATCACTCAGGATTTAGGAAGTGTGGATCAGACTAAAACTGTTCAAGACTTTAATACTGCAGTTTATCATGATCATGCAACCTGTTGGGTCATTATGGATTTAAGTCCGGAATATGCTGTAAAATTATGAATTTTTGGGAGGGGTCTGAATGACACATTCAAACAAATATCTTTCTACCATGATGGTGGCAAATTTTTCTTTACTCAATTCAAGGCATGAAGATTTTTTTTTCAAGCCATTTGCTTTCTCCTTCACAACTTCAGAACATTGATTTGTTATCAGTAATTGTAAAACTTTTCAAAAGTATAAAACTATGATTTATTTTACCCCATTGACCTACTCTACTGCCAGTTCAGAAAGGATAATGTTTAGTTGATGAGAAAAGCTTAGAAGGAGGGCAGTGATAAATGATGGGGTGTACTAATGGGTTTGTTGCTTAATATGATGGGAGGATAACGGGCATCTAAGTAATGCTCAACATTGCCAGTGCTCGAAACACCACATGTATATGCATTCATTGTATAATTAGAGCTGTGCAGGTATTCCTGTTATCTACCTGCACTGGGCCATATACTGGGTTTACATGTTTGCAGGTCAGTGAATATGGATTTTTATTTGCTGCATTGACTGTTACCACTTGATACGTACAAATAATGGCAATGGTTTTTGAAAATATTTTAAAGTAACTATGATCCATACATTTGTACTTGCTAAATCCTGAGTGGTGAAGGTAAAATTTGTCTGGTGCAGTTAATATTCAATGTTACCTGCACCAGTGCAGGCATGCAGAAAAAGGATTTCAAGCCCTGACATGCAGTATCTGTGTAATGCTCAACATTACAGTACAGTCTACCGGTAATACCCAAAATCCTATAAAACTGCATCGTCTGAAATGGCCTCAATAGTCTCTTAAGAGCTGCTTTTAAAGGATAACAAATTTTCGTTAGTTATAGAATTGCCAATAATTCACATCTACGTGTAATCACCAGGAAGACAAGTTTATTTGGATCACCCCATCTCCTCCGAGGAAGGAAGGTTTTCAATATTGGACTTAACAATTTACAAACTGATATTGTACAGCAAACTCTACTGAATTTCTTTTACATAAAATCAATACAGAGAACGATTTTATAATACAATGTTGTCCAGACATAAATATGCCACTGAATCAAATAATATTACATGTATGTAAAACATTTTGCAAAATTAAAAGTGTTAGTTCATCAACTTAAATTCCCCCCATATTAAAACAATTGGTACGCCCCATATGCAATTGTAATAAACAAGTGGGGCGGAAGGGTCCACTGTCATTCCCACTCCAGGGGAGCTTGAGACACGAAGCTCATTGAAGCGCAGGGATGAATGTACATGTAGTTTGGACTGATCCTAGGGAGTACAGGGGCTTTTGTGGATCTGGTAGAAGGGCATACAGTGTACGTGACCAGGCAGATAGACCTTGTAGGTAGATTGGATGGTCTCTGTGACTGATGCGGGTACGCTACTCTCAGACTGACTGACTCACAGAGGGATTCTCTTCTAATCTCTCCAAGAGTTTCCTGAGAATATTGCTTTTTGCTACAACACTTCTCGAGGAAATTGCTTTTTCTCGGCGGCAGTTTCTCAAAGTCAAGACGTCTGTGAAGAAAGGAAGACTTGTTTGTATGCTGAACGTAAGAACGGCAACTCAGCAGAGGTAGGTAAGATTTTTCACCACTGATTTTACAGGTCAAAAAATGCAACTGCACTTTCTGACAGAGGACGAATGCACATATGAATAGGTATTGCTTATTATTATGTCACTTCAAGAATTTTTATACATTACTTTCAACTTGATGTGTTCATATTTCTCCAAAATATTAGGTGGCTCAACCACTGTAATTCGTAAACTACAAGTAACAAAGATGATAGCAAGGCTAACAAAAGAAGGATTTTCAGCAGTCAGCTGACATTAATCTGAGGAAGAGTTGGAAGCAATGTTCTTTAACAAAGGCACAAAAGGATGGGAAATTACCTGAATGTGCACGGCACTGAGGTACCCAGGTATGAATAGGCGATTATCTTTCAGTATTAGAACATTGATTGCAGGAAATTAGAACTTCACATGCTGCATGAGAAAAGAAAGGTTCTCTGTGCTTCTGTAGTAATTGATGTGTCACAGTGACTGTTGTTCTGATGAGAGCAATGAAGGTTTGTGAAACAAGGAAATGAGAAGAGAATCCCTGAGGCCATTCCTAGCTTTGGCAGGAATACCGTACAACAAGAAACTTTCGCAGCATTTACTTTAATACTGTAAATGGGTGGAATTGAACTAAAACTGGATCAAGATCGCTTTCAATTTCCCTTTTTCCATAAACAAAATCCTCTGCATTAAAGAAGAGAAAGCCATTTAGTGCCATTAAACCAAATCCTTTAAACAGTGGAGTACACCAAAATGGTCTCCTGGCCAGAAACAGCCACTCTAGTACAGCGCCTGAGCCGGTAACAGGGTTTTAATTAGGCCAATGGTGCACCCGCTCATCTCAAATGGTCCAGAACAAATACAAGTCATCCGTCATAGGGGTAATGGGTGGGCTCAGATGGAGCCGCGCGGATCATGCTAACTGCCTTATTTGTCCCTCGTTAGGGGAAACCAGTTCGTTACGCATATGTGTGGGATTAATTAGCAGAAGATGCATGGGTTTGTGGAGTGATCGGACCTGTCTCAATTACTGGTGTGCTGATTCTGATGGGAGTAAAAGAGTGGTGGAACACAACTGTGTTGGCTACCACAGTTTTTGCACTGTCATCATTTCACACCATCAGGACCAAAAACTTATTAGAAATAGTCTTGAATAACTTGAACACCTATATTGGGCAAATTATATTAAGATGTATTGTATTTGTAAACTTACTGTTAAAAAATTCATAAAGAATTTTGACTTCCATAAGGACATCTTGGGTGCTCTGAGTTGACAAAAAAACACACGAAAAGTACAGATTATATTCTATTATCATAGCATCATGAACCCTAACACAAAAAGGAACTTCTTGAAATGACATATACAAAGAAATTAACCTCCATCATGCTAAGGTAGCTGTTTGGCAGAAGGGAAAAGGCTCAACTTTTGAGCAATGTTATCGTGGGGCAAGTTCGAAAAAACAAGTCACCCATGAAGTGTATTTTTGAGGAAATTTTACGACCATAAAGCTGTTTTTGCCACACTTGCAGTATTGGGAAACCTGTTAAGTGTACCACGGAGGTCATATAAAGTGCAGCATGTTTTAAACATGGAGTCGATAATTGCCACCAGATTAAAGGCTTCTGTCTTTTCACTTATTTATCGCCGAGTCATTTATAAGGTGGGTAAGGCGTGCACCCAGCAAGGGAAGCCTGATTGAGACTGCTGATCATTAGGCCACACCAATTTAATTTGTTGGTTCTCGGATTTTTTCAGAAAAAATATGAAGCGACAGGGCGAAAAAAAATAAAAATAAAAACAGGTCTAGGCATCCTATTATAGGCTTAAATGCTACAAAATGAGCCATGAAGTCAACACAAAAGGCTGGGTTAAAATTTAAACATTGAATTTTGAACTTTTAATCAAACCACTGCAATGATAGATGGGAAAACTGTAACAACTAGGAAGAAAAAGACTTTCCTCAACTGTTGGGGGCAAAACATGAGCATTTTTCAGTTGATTCAGGACCAGAATCAAATTTTTTTTTTTTTTGCAAATCAGAAAAAAACGAAGAGGCGAATCCGAGAACCAACAAATTAAATTGGTGTGGCCTTAGTAGTGGATACAGGTCCAATGGGATTTCAAGTTGCAGCAAGCAGTAATTGAGCACGTATCACAAAGCAATTGCTACCGTCACTTAAGTCTTGGGAATAAGTATAGGCTGGTTAAAGAGGCAAAACTTGGACTAGGCTTTTAAAGGACTGTTTTATATGTGACAACTAGGGGTGGGTACCGGTTCAATACCTGGTGTCTAGTAAAATGACCTGTTATCCAATGAAGAAGTGAGTGTAACTTGCATTTCGGTCAAATTTTGCATTTCTATAATTTTTGTTTACATGTTTTATTTTCCTGGTTTTGGTACTGAATTGTACACAGTGAATTCACGAAACCATAAAGATGTCTTCATTGTATGACTACTGTACTACAGAATTGTTTCAACTGAAAATTCTAAACATAGCAAAAACCTTCTTTTCCCTCATTCCACAAAATAAAAACACTGTAAAAGTAAATGCATTTACAGTAGTTACACCCTTTTCCAAGAAAACCCCTCGCACAATTTGCCCATCAAATATTCATAGGAAGCAACCAAGCATGTTCTTCATGGTGTTGGTCACATTACTCTGCCTGTCAACCATGTCAAAATCACCACAACGTCAAACTCCAACCGGAGGCATCTGCAATTTCATACCTTGCTGCTTGGGATAAGAGGAAATCCTTTTCCCCTAAAATAGATTATATTTTCTATGCAACTTTCTGAAGTAATATATCAAGTGTCTATGAAGCCTGAAACCTCCAACCCCAAAAGAATGTATAGTTGCAATCAAAGGTAGGTTTTGAGATGCAGAAGATAGTGGAAGTTGCTTCAGTACCAAGAAGATATCCAGGAATTTCTCTTTTTGAAATGCTTTGTTTTCTGTTTCAAACCAAATATGCACAGCTTGGTTCTGATGCACAAAATATGACATTGCTATTGACTTAGAACCAATGATGTGACCATCTTTTTGAAAGGAATTTGCCAATTATAGAAAGAACAGGTCAAAATCCTTGCATCTCACAAGTCTATTTGACTTGTACAGTGAAAAAATAAGAAATTTTCAGCCAAATTGTAGCACTTACACACTTGACATGCACAAAAATTGCAACAAAAAGTAAGCCACATCAGGATCTTACGACGAGATAAATTCCGCAGGGTTTACATCTGAAAATCCAAAAGCAATATGAGAAATGGCATCGAGCAAAACCGAGGAAATTGAATCCCTCCGCTTTATAACTTTACTACCACCCCTGTGGCAGTTACAGTTCTTCAGAGGCATTGATGAAGTCCCATAACAGTTCAGACCTGCGAAATTCAATCTCCTTTCCAATGACTGTTTGTACCCATAGGAAATGGAAAGCAACCCTGCTTTCAGCACCCCGGACAGACCTAGGGTTATACCACATATGTTGGGGCTTCTGCATCATGCGTTTGGACCTAGTCATTGCACAGGAGCTAAAAAAATTCCTTTTTTTAGTTAAAAATAGGCCATAGAATCTGTCTTGGACATAAATTGAAATGCCTCCATTTCCAGATTAGGTCAGATTTGACTATTGTGTACCAAATTTAGTGCTTTTAGAAAAAAGTGAAAAAAATTTCAGACAACTGGAAAGTCTGAATAAGGGAGCAGTTTTTGATCATTTCAGAGAACAAAATACCTTCTTCCATAAAAGCCCCAATAAACTTTCATAGCAGGGATCAGGAACAATCTTGAAATATGCCTGCACCACAATATCCCCAGTTTAGGCTGTCCCAAAAACTGTTTTATCGCTTACGCAAACATCAATATATAGATCATCGCATTGCCTCCTGCAGATAGCAGCAGGTACACTCGCCTCCCCTTCTGTACTCAGTTTGATTGATGTGTTTTTCTACGCAGGCGGAACGCTTCATCGGCGGACGCCACATCGTGACACGCTCCCTAACTGATGAATGAATGGGCTCTGTAATCGTCGGATCACCAGAACAGATCATTATCCCTATTGGAGAACGTTTCAACGCACCGCTCGGCCAAATTGCGACCTGAAGATGAAGAGGACTTCAGTCCAGAAGGCCCTTTGTCTAAACATGTTCCAGTGACTACAATCTGGTGTGCTGAAAAGCACGGTGGCTTTGGCAACAGGGCGGGAAGAACTGTTCCAAGAAATTCAGACGATCTGGTTTTCTACTACTTCGAGAAACAACACTGCAGTGGAAGGAATACAGAAGCAAACTGCATGACAGCGAACGCTGAAATTGGAGTGTGAGAAAGGCATTCAAAGCAGAGTGGGAAAAACTGTACCCAAAAAGTGGACAATCTGCTTCAAGAAACAACATTGCAGCAGAAGGAATACAGAAGCAAACTGTGTGACAGTGATGGGAGTGTGAGAAACTGGAGAGTGGACCCTTCTAGCTGTCTTCAGGTAGTAGGAGTACAGAATCAGCTTGTACTGTGCAGAATTGTCTTGGACTGGACGGCCTATACAAGAGTGAAGAAACAAGGAAAACAGAACCTGTGTGGTCTACAAGGCACATCTTCAGAACACCAGATTCACACAATCAGCTTGTACTTTGTAGTCTTGGACTGGAAGACCATTATCTGCAAACTACAACAGCAGTGTAACAAAACAGAAGGAAAACAAAAGCAGCTTGCGATAGAGTTTACCAAATGGAAAACCAGCATCTATGAGAAAAGCCTTCAGTTGTGGTGAAAGTGTTGGTTGAAAACATGGCAATGTTGTTCGGGGCCAGCATCTTGCTGACCACCCTGACAGTAATGCACTGTCTGCCGTGTGTCACCCCAGCCAGGGTGTCGCTAGAGGATCTCAGGAGGGTCATCAAGGAGGTGAAGAAACTAGAGTCCCGTGCTGACAATAACTCCGTACAGATACAGAAGCTGTTTGACTCTTACACAGGGGACACAAGAAAGGTGGGTCTTATAGCTTGCCTTTGTTTACACACACACACAAAAGATCAAAATATAAAAATGAAAGCTATTTGTTTGTATGTTTGGTTTGTTTGTTTGTTAACTTCGTTGTATTAGGATCTCCACTGTAGTGATACATAAATTTGACACTATTCTTCCTGGAGTCGTTAAAGATTATGATGTAGATCACCATGTGGTTAATATAAGATGGGGGGGGGGGGTCAGGCCTCCATCCGGGTGATTTGTAGTGATTGATGGATATATAAAGAAAACTACTGTACCAAATATCTGGTCTTTGATTTTGAAAAACACTTTCAGTAATAAGTCTGTCAGGACAGCATCACACACAAACACATCATACATTTCTAGCTGCTTTGCTTATAATAACCTCCTCCATGCAAATGTGTCAAATTAAAAACAACTACTAGGTATGTGTATATTTGTATGCAGTGAAAGTACAATACACAAAGCAACTAACACTTCCTCCCCATATCATATATCCCTTTTATTACACATCCGGGGCTTGAGGGTCCAAACCTATAAAAATCTGCTCATAAATGTTCCATGGTTTACAGTGATTGCTCTACCTGAATGGCTGTTTTAAGACTGATGCTGCAATGTACAGGGGAGCAAATCAATTATGATGCTGCTGAAGTTTTTGTCAATAATTTAGCTGCAAAATCAAGTGTTGCTCTGAATATTCACCACATTCATTAGATACACCCAAAATATTTCAAATGCAGCTTCAATTATTGCAGTAACTGTTGTTTTCCTGCAACTTAAAAGTGTGACTATCAAATTTGTATTGATTTGTTCAAGTGTGGTTCAACATGACATTTTCTTGATTTACCCATTGTGAACTGTGTGTGGGGGGGGGGCATTTTGACCTCAAATTTGACCTTTCAGTCTGTGGTTACATCATTTCCTACCATCACTTCGTGTGACTCTACTGTATTCAATTAACTACATGTACAGAGTGACATGGGCGCAAAGAAACAGACAAGCACACCAAAAACAAAAATACAGAGGTAAAGAAATTGATACACTTACTAATAGCTGCTCAGCTTCTGACATACAGTTTTCAGAAGGATTACTTTTTTGTTTCTTTTAATAACTTGAGGGCTTTGCTAGATTATTGATCCTTTGCAGTATTATCATTGTGTTCCTTATCTACACTGCAATAATCATTGGCTTCTCTCCAAAGCCATCGCGATCGACTATGTTACTGATGTTTCAACAGTACATCAAAGCACTTCTGAGCTGTTTTGTGATTCAAAACAGTTGGCACCTCTTATTGATTGGGTTACAAATACCACATAAAGTTGGCAAACGACTGAAGGGCGCCCTAAATTGCTGGTAATTCAGGGGTGATTGGAACTAATGAAAGGTTTTCTTTTGACAAGTGGTGAGAAATATTGGGCTCCTATTCAGTATAAATGAGGCACTTGTCAAAAAGTGCAGAGTCTTAATCAAAAGTACAGGGCCTTTGGGTATTATGATGCGTGGGTACTGAATTGCCTGTGGCACTACGAATTTCATTCAAACTGTAAAATGTCCAACACTAAAACCAGTGCTCTGTCATATGTTGAAGCTAACTTGTTCCTGTGCATCTGACTAGATATACTAGGTCCTGAAAATCTTTTTTCTACTGTTGGCACCTTGCATATACTCTTGGTGCAAAATCCCTTATTTAGTACATAAACCTTAGATTTGTTAGACAAGTATATATGTAATACACATGTATGTGCCTGTTCTCATGACTGAAAGTAGACATTTTCTACAACAGTACCAGATCTTGGCTGTCAGCCTGGCCACACATTTCCTTACAACACCCTTACAGCATGAATTTCATGTTGAGTTGATTGATTTAAAAGGGCTGGGATTGTGTCTGCCAGGTCACATAGTTCTGCCCATACATGCAATTTTCCCCTTGGCTTGTATTCTTGAATTCCCCAATTCTTCCCTGTAAACATGTGTGCATGTGCAAGTGATGAGGTTGGGAAGAACTTCTTCTGGAATGATTGATTTCATCCCTGAGGAATGTACAAAATCTATACTAGTGCTCAAAAAGGGGACGACTGTTTATTTCCACACTCCTAGGCCCCGGAGCCCCTACTTTCTGACAGTCTTAGGGTTGTCGAGCATTGACTGAGTCATTGGAATATAGGGGTGTCGGAATGTTCAAATATAGTGATGTAACTGCTTGAAATGCAATGCCATATACATTGTAATATAGTATCAGATTATTCTACAATCTGCATTTTTGAAAAAAATATTGATTGCAGGCAAAGTCTATATCAAAAAAGAGCCCAACGTTGTTCATGGTAACTTGCACATGAGCCCTACCAAATGAGTCCACTGTCTCTACCTACATATAAGAGTAGAAAATACTTTGAAAATCCTCAATCTTGTACTTAATCTCTGCACCTCGTTTGTTCGTTTTTTAACAATTACTCATGACAAATTTCTTCATTCGAAAAAGAGCTCAGTGTTGTTCATGGTAACCTGCACATAAGCCCTACCAGATGAGTCCACTGTCTTCAAGTTGATGAATGGACCTGGTATCAGAAAGGACTGCAGGCAATGAGGAAGGCTGGCATGACTGATGACTCGCTGTGTGCAGGCGACGTTTCATCTAAAACTCAGGAACAACTATCTATTACCCTGTGTACAAAGCCTTGTCGACGATCAAATCCTTTTTTCCGCATACCTGCACTGCTGCAGGTAACTCAGAAAATTACCTGCACCTGAGACACATTTTACCTGCACCCCTCAGAATTTATTTTATGGGAAGTATGGATCATGCTAAAGTTGTTCAGAAATCATAACCTTTTTTTCTTTTATACTTCATATATAGGTGGTAACAGACAATGCAACAAATAAAATCCACATACATATACACCTATATTATGCATTTGTATATAAGCCCAGTACATGGCCCAGTGCAGGTAGACATCAGAAATACCTGCACTAAGCCGCGCGTGTGTGTGTAGGTGTGTTTGTGTGTGTGTGTTTGTGTGTGTGTGTGTCTGTGTGTGTGTGGTATTTTGAGCCCTGCTTTTTGTGTATCATTCAAAATATATCTGGTCCAAAAGAAGGAGACTTTTCCCCGGTTAAAATCGATAGACACACAGATGTCGTCCATCACATCAAGTTCGCGTGCCGCTGGCTTCAGCCCAAAGCCACGTCACCCTGCTACATCCCTCTTGCTCCCTGGACCCGTTCTGCCCATAAAAACACTTATTTTCCGCTGAGTTGAGACTTAACTTCACGACCCCGGTGTTTGTTGCCAACTCCTGCCGGGCGCGATAAATCTCTCGCACCCCCTCGTGCGATAATAGGTCGATAAACGGCACCTTCTGGGCACGGGATCAGGTGTGAGCCTGCACTCAGCCATGGATCAACTTCCATCACGTATTCATCAACGTCTGGAACGTGTATTTATCAATACACGGTCGTCACCACATCAATAAGCTACAGCCATTCGGACTAAGCCGGGGTAGCCTTGTAACTGTTATCGCAACTAGCAAATGGGCACTTTTACTGCGTGACAACGACAATCTGCCAGTAAAGCATGATTGGCTTGCAGAAAAAGGTCATAAAGACTTCACCGACGTGGTAGAAGTTACAGATCTGTGGCGCGGAGGTCGAGGTTTTGGAGTGAATGCGCAGTTGAGGAAGCAACAATAACTGGTCGTTGCTCCGTGTAATCAGCGTTTCTGCTCAATAAAGCAGGGCCGTAAAATAGTAGTGGCTCAGGATGACTGCTGCATAATTGCACAGTTCTATCCGAGAAGGCAATAAAAAAGGTCATAGCTAGACTCAATGAAAGTCTTTCATACTTACTACTTCTGGCAAGAGGGCTTTGTATTTAGTACCATAGATTGCTTCAAAACAAGATAAACCGAAAACCCCCCTAATGAAGTTTATTGTATTCATCTTGTGTTCACCATTGTCAATGATATGTATACAGGAAATATGTTGTCAATTTACCAGCTAGTAGCTGCCTAGTGTCTGCATTGTTGCAATCTCTAAAAATAAAGAAACAATTTTCATAAAGAAACAATTTTCATAAAGAAAAATAAATTCAGATTACAACTAGACAAAGCATGCAAATGATGATGACTTTGAGATTCTTTCGAGTGATGTGGTATCCTCTAGCAGACCCTTTCAGGAACAAATTATGAATGAATTTTCTGTCAAATTCTATACTTTGCAGAGCCCCTCCATGTCTCCTCAGACTATCCAGAAGGTAGTGAGTCAGAACATCAACCAGAGTAACATCATCAGTGCTCTACAGGACCAGATGGCCACTGACAGGCAGAACTCGAGGTAAGTTCAACACATTCACCCCTACATTACCATGAAAAATCATCTGTGTTTTCCTACTGCAGAATTCCTTAGAATGCAAATGACCATTCACCTACATGTAGGTACAAAAATGTGACTTCAACAATTGGTCAAACTATCCCTGACTTGAATCTGGAATCTGGAATACCATAGAACAGGGTTGTGTGGTCCTCATTGATATACAGATTCTTTCCAAAATAAAATTGTGTTAAACAGTAATTAGCATTATGGGGTACTCAGTAATAAAAAAAAAATCAAAAAGTTGTGTCTACACCATCTTAAACTGGTTAAAATCTTTTGGATTTGTTTTTACTGTTTCTATATCCCCCTTTTTGTTCCAACAGCATCAAACTCACATAATTGTATCCTTTTTCCAGGGATGCACTTGACAAGTTGTCAGTACAGAGCTCTGACCTGGAGAGATATGTGTACGAACAGACACTCCTCATTAAGGTACATACATTTAACTCATAACTAGCATTTTCTATGTCACTGAGCACATAGAAATACTATATAAATAACTGTCATAAATGTGAGAATGCTATATTGGAGTTGACCAGTGTCACCATATGTGGATGTACTGAACTGATGTACTGACACTTACATGTACATGTACAAGTCAGTGACTTTGTCACATTCTACCATTTTTTAGTTCCTTATTAATTAGAGATGATAAGTTCAGTTTCTTCTAGTCATGCTGAAAAGAAGTGACAAAATCTCTACTCTATTCTATCCAGTGGTAGGGTTTGAATTGTCTATGAATATCATTATCATGACATTCTTCGTAATACAGTAACAAGCACAGTCATTGTGTTTGTTCCCAGGACAAGACCCGGAGGCTGGAGACCAGAAACGCCCGCCTGGAGAACACGCTCATGTTCTTACAGCAACGTGTGGAAAACATCAGTGTGAAAAACGAGTTTGGAGACGTGCGGGGTAAGCAGCTTTCTGCAGGTGCTTTCTGAAGGAAAACAAAGCCTCTCCTGGCTGTTGTTTGGTTGATTTGACCTTATCTAATCTTTTTTCAGACTTAACAGGCCAATGTTGCCATTATTGGAATAGCCATTATTTCTGTTATAAGCAATAAAATTATGTTTAATGACAGAAAGACAGATACTGGGTAAAAGTCCTACTATACTATATATTTAAGCAGATGTGATTTCATTATTGTGGACACCAAAGTTCTTTTGTCATACCATATTACCAAATATATGTAACCATATCATTTTATAAGCCATGTAGCACTTGTGGAAGAAATCTTATAATGTATGATTAAGTATTCGCAAAGCATGACACCACACCTACTTTGCTCGTGTCTGTATCTGTATCTGTATAGGCGGTTTAACTTCCCTTCAGCGTAACATACCAGCTTCACAATATCCTTAACCACTATATCCATAATCTTAACTCCCCCTACCAATTGATTTTCTTCCCCATAGATCGAGTAAAAGACTGTTCTTCCCTGTACAAGCGAGGGTACACCCTAAACACAGTCTACATGATACCAGCCTACACCGGCCCCTTCGTAATGTACACCATGCCTTCCTTCAACACGTACTGCGACATGCAAACTGACGGCGGCGGCTGGACGGTCATCCAACGCCGCGTCAACGGCTCCCTCAACTTCGACCGCAACTGGACGGACTACAAGTGGGGCTTCGGCGACAAGTTTGGCGAGTACTGGCTGGGGAACGAGAACATCTACCGCATCACGAACGAGCGGCCGAACAAATTGCGCGTCATGATCGAAGACTGGATGGGGATGAAGGCGTACGCCGAGTACTCCACCTTCTCCATCTCCAGCGAGCGGGACGGCTACAGGCTGTCCCTGGGAGAGTACGCGGGGGGTCTAGCCGGGGATTCCATCAGGAATCAGTACAACAGTCAGAACAACATGGCGTTCAGCACCAAGGACAGGGACAATGATAGTTCCCCGGAGTCCAGCTGTGCACAGCGGCGCCGCGGAGGCTGGTGGTACAGCCAGTGTGGCTGGGCGAGTCTGAACGGACTGTACCGGGTCGGCGGGCAGTACCTGGGCCGCGCTAACGGAATCATCTGGTTCTCGTGGGGCGGGTCGTTCCGTTATTCTATGAAGAAAGTCACCATGATGGTTCGACCAGCTGACTTCTAGGTGCATTGTAGGCCATTAACATAACTCTATAGATCTTGTTATCAAAAACTTTCTTTTTCACATTTCTTCGTCCAACTAATTTTCAATTCAGTGTAACAGTTATTTTCTTAGAATTAGTCTTTAGAATTTTAGAGAAATGTATGATTGTCTGTTCAGTGTCAGTTGAACATTGTGATTTGTATTAGTAAGTTGTAGATTTAGTAGGTAGTTTTTATAAGAGTGGGTATATACTTACACTGGAAGTACACATACTGCAGATAGTGGAACATGTTGGCGAGTAGCTGCTCCACAAATCGTCCCTCTATGTGGGACATCCGGACGATGCAGTTCCGCCGACACAGCAAAAGTTCCACATAGCGATCTGCAATGGAAAAACATTGACAGAAATGTAACCAAAGGAAATACAACTAGAGCAGTATCTTCACAACTGCTTCATGCTTTTAACCAAAAATTGGTTAAAAGCAGAAAATATATATATCACAGACATATAAACTACATGTAGTTATGATTGTGAACTCTTCCATACACTAGTACTTTATCTTTGTGGTCTTGAAAGAATCGAACTCAACTTGACCTGTTTTATTAGATTTCTAGCATAAGCTATCACAGTAGCATCTAATTGCATGTTGAAGAATATTGTGTGTGTGAAAAAATGACATATCCTAGTCTTTTCTTTTTAAAATCGACATGTAGCTTACAATAGAGGGGTTCTATAGAGTCTTGCTTCAACTTTAAGTCAGAATCAACAGCTTACTGTTTACACTAAACTGTACTGATCTGGATGAATTGTAGGGTGTGTTAGTAGATCTGTAGTCACTGTGCCAAACTGGACACAAGCCAGCATATGTACAATGAAAGTAACAGACATATAGTAAGTGACTTTGATACTCCAAAGTATGTACGTACACATAGTATATTGTTGAATACTAGTAGTGTCAGATGTGTATTGTAGAGGCAATAAAAACAACTGTGTGTGTGTGTCATGTGATGAGTACCGGTAAAATGTGGCTTTGTCTAAGCGTAATCCTATATCTAGAAGGGAAACAGCCCTCTGGTTCAGGTCAATGACCTTATGTGTTTGGAGAAGAAGAAGAAACAGAGCAAAAACAATGTTTTCCTTCTGTGAAGGTAAACATAACCAAAGGAAGAAGACTAACCAGTAAGTGACATCCACAGGTCGTTCCTCTTGATGTCCATGTTGTTTGGGCGCTCACACGAGGAGCGGCACTTCCCGTACTCCTGGTACCACAGCTCCAGCGCAGCCTCCAGGCTGTCCCGCGCATCCTCAAACTGGTTCATCAGGTAGTGGTCCATCCCATCCATGAACCTGCGCTACAAATGGAGGATAGAACAGACTTGAAGGGGGTGGGGGGTGCCACAGACCTTCTGCAACTTATGATCCACTTCTCACTGAGTCACGTGTGTCATCTGCATAACATGAAGCAGTGGATTGATCCCTCATTCCTGAAGTTGTACAGTTGCAAATTTGGGTAAGTCCAATTTCTTGTGTTGGAAATTACAGTTTTAACTTGCACTACATATAGAGGATCAAGAAAGCCTTGCCTTACCTACAATACATGCCACAACGGGAATTACTTTTATTAGAGTTTAAAGATTATCTCCTACAGTGGCAGTGCAGTATCTATTCAGGCCAGAAATGTGACCATTGGCCACCCTGTATCTCCAGCGGCTAATGGTTATGGGGTGGCTAGTGGTTACAGCTCTGGAAAATGGATACTCATAATTAACATAACGGAAGCCTTGCCTTATGCCCCAATTGGAATTACTGTACTTTAGAGAATATAATCTCCAAGCAGATCCTATATAGTGGCAGGGACAGCATCCACTGGCAAGAGCTGTGACCATTAGCCAACCTGTCTTCCTAGTGGCCAATGGTTACAGCTCTGGAAAATGGATACATGTACTTACAAGAGGGATAAGCAAAAGAAGGAAGATGAACTACAGAAGTTGCCGGGAACCAATTTGGAGAAAATGGTAAGAGGTTTCAGAGGAGGGGTAGGAGCATAATTTGTGTGAAGATCAGACAGTAGAGAGATTGTTTTAGAAAATGATGGTTGGAAGAATGCTCCTGTCGTGATTTTGTATGACTGGTACAAATGTAAATGTAAAGGTGAGAAACTCACTGGCTATACAGTATACTGGTGTTCTTTGCAGGTAGTACCATGAATGTAGGTACATGCATATCACTGTAAAGTCATGGTATCTTGGTGAGGGAGTGAGGGGGGTGGGGACTTCGTTTTTGTACTATATGTACGTACTGCACTGTGAGTAATAATTCAATAGATTTTACAATATCTGGCAATGGAAGTTTCCACTGACATGAAACAGAATACTAGTAATTGTGAGGAATGAAATTGTTCTGAATTATAAATTGACTTTCCGAAAAAAAAAAATGCTTTTCTGCAAGAAGATATTTTATAGGAAAGGCAAATAATCTTCATTCTGAAAATAGTGGACAATTTTGCCAAAGGAAGTATAAGAAATTTCAGCAATTTATTGTTAGAATACCCTTACGCTTGAAACTTTTAAGTTTTGGTAATAGGTGAAAATCTAATTTAACATAACTGTTAGGTGCGACAAGCCCAGCTTTTCTACAGATGTGTTTCCAGCATGCAGGAGTTACAGTGTAGCAGACTAGCTGTGCACTGTGATGCTTTACTAAAGGTACTGGGCAGTCGACCCTTACCGAACTTTGCACGCGGATCACATTGGGGACATCGGGGTCCATGTCCCAGGAACCGTTTAAAGCCTGAAGCACTGAATTGACAGCCCCCTCAAGAGCCTCCTGGAGTGTGGGAAGGGACGAAGTAAGAAAATAGTGGCAGAGAAAGTTACAGGGGGGGTGGGGGGGCAGTGGGTAGAGGAGTTGCTTTGAACTGGGATAAATTAAAGGGTTTGATTAGAATTAGGCAGGGGTTTGGCCAGACTTGGTATTGTTTGCAGTCATAGCTGGAGGTTGGGAAAGTAGTTGCCATGGGGTAGATTCAAAAGGATAGAGAATAAGCATATTATATCAGAAGAAGAGAACTGCTTCATCTGTAACAATGTTTATAATTCTAAGTGGAAATGCTTGTTAGGTGTTGTTTAGTCAACATGAAACCGGCAGTTGTTTATACCTTGTTCAAACACTATCCTGTCAAAACTGTTTATGTCGGATTCAAAAGAGTCACTAATGGTGCTTTACTGTCATAACAAACAGAACAATAAAGCAGTCAAGGCCAAGAAAAACACTGCAACCAAAGCTGAGGATCGTTGAAGAGATTCATTTGTCACGTATAGATACAGTTCTTAGTGAATTCTTTCATCAGTGACAACTTTGGAAGGATAAGGAGGTTAGTATCCTTATCCTTCCAAAGTTGTCACTGATGAAAGAATTCACTAGGAACAAAGCTGAGGACTTTTCCATTCAACAAAGTTAAGAGTAGGCCTTTTTAAATACATCAATGAGGTGTGATACTGTTAGTGTAGAAAGCTTTTGACAGCAGACAGCATTTGAAGAGGTTGTGACAAAAGTGCCCTCTGGTGGATTGTGGGTTAACTACAATCATACCTTGAAGAAATAAAGGTATTCAGTCATAATCTTGTGTGTAAGTTAGATGCACTTAATATTATACATGACTTTTAGACATGATATTTGCTTTTTTCTTACAAAAGGACCTTGAATTTCCCTAAAACATACTTACTTACTTTCGAATTTCAAAAAAAAAGAAGGAAAAAATTTGCGACTATCTTTTAAGGAAGAAAAAGAAAGTTGTGAATCTCTTTCGAGAAAGGAAACAAAACGTTGTGAATCTCTCTTTCGTTCCAACCTTCCAGTGGTTCTTCTCCCTGTCCCTGAACCACTCCTGCTGCACTTCCTCCATCTGCCGATAGAAGGCGATGTTGGCTCGCATGATGTCATGGTTCAGGTTCATCTGCAGGAAGGTGTAGGCAGAGGCAGCCGCTTTCTGCAGGTCTCCCAACTGGAAAAAAACAACAAGTCACTGAGTTAGGCATGATTGTGCAGAGGTTTGTTTGTTTAGTAGTTAGTCAAATTTAGTGATGTTGGCTGGCATGATGTCATAGTGTAGGTTTATCTGCAGGAAGGTGTAGGCTGAGGCAGCCGCTTATTGCAGGTCTTCCAACTGGAAATCAAGGCACTGAGTTAGGCAGGTTCATCTGCAGGAATGTGTAGGCAGAGGCATCCACTTTCTGAAGGTCTCCCAGCTGGTCTTGACACTGAGTTAGGCACTTTGGACGATGCTTCTTTTAGTGGTTGGCTGATCTAGTAGTTAGTCAAATTTTCATGTTGTTGGCACACACCTACATACCACTACACATTGTTACATTACTGAACAACGTTCTGCAAGTTTCCAACCTGGAACGGGCCTAGGAGCAATCAAGGAGCAATTAAGAGCAATTAAGTCACAGCCTATATAGGAACCATTAATTATTGAGTCATAATCCACAGCAGCCAATAACCTAGTTAGGCAGAATACTGGAGTGTTAATTCATTCATTTTAAACTTACAAATGGACTGTCAAACATAGAAAAAAACCAGTTATATTTTCCTAGACGTGATAGAAAGTACATTCATCTAAGTTACACTGTAAGTTCATTTTCCTACAATACACATTACATATTGTATAACGATTTCCTAGTGACATGTGCAATGAACTTGAATCCATCTGTCATCACAGCTACCCAAACATAAAACAGAACTAGCTACAACAGCAACCCTTGTTGCCCCAAACAGGAGGGTATTTTTTACTGTCTACCTGCAGGTGATATTGTCACGACAAGCGAAACAGCCCCAACAGCAAAACATGATCCCCTTAGGCTAGTGAAGGAGGATGTTTATGCTAGTGTAGATTTAGTAGGGTCGGAGGCCACTGTAAGTGACAGACTTGACAAAGTCAAGATGGCAATTAGCGAGTGACTTTTTCTAGTGCTTCTTTCCACCTGGGTGGGCAAGATGGCAGTTTGGAAATAGGAGAGGGGTTGGTGGAATAACCTGTCCAGTCCATGTGGCTGAAAAACCTGTCCAGTCTGATAAAAGGGTCTGCATGGGATCTATGCTTGGTTTTGATAGAAAGTCCAAGAAGCCGCTATTCAAGACACTACTATGTTGAGACAATGGATACGACGTGAATGTGTGGCTGCACATTAAAAGGGGACACAGGCTAAGGACATAGATTGGTATACATGTACATGTACAGTATGTCCTTGCAATTGCCTGGAAAGTGTCATGTTAATCCTGTATGTGGCTTTTATATGTATGGCTTGTAGTATGGTAGCTGCTAGCTATAGAGAGACTGACTGTGTCTGACAGTGAAGACTTCCTAAAAATTCTGAGGTACAGTAAATGTACCTTTAAGATCTTCCTCAATATCTTATGACTTCCAATAGGTTGACATACACATGTACAGCCTGCACCCCACAAAAGTGCTGATGAAGAGATGATATTATCAAAGTTTCAATCTGGTAGATGTACATGTAGTATGTGTAACAAAAATTTTGATTACAAAACACCAAAACTCTGGCAGCCTGACAGAGAATGTCAACTGGTCTACATTTTGAAAGACAATAGTCAGCTGGTCTAGGGAGAGGAAGGTATGTACGTATAGAATAGGAGTTGATAGGTAATGTAGGAAACACTTCTGTTACATCTGTGCTCTGTGTTAAATTCCTGCTGCAAGTCCATGTACATGTAGATGTGTACTTTGACATGTTAACTCAAGGACATCATACAGTGTACATTCTCTGCATAACTGCCACGGGGACAACTTTGTGGGAAAAGCTAACTACAACTCCTTCAGTATGTTAAACTACCGTGTTACTGCTGAACAGCTCTCCTAGTTTTCTCTGACCTTTTGTCTTATCAACATGCAACGTGATGAAAATGACAACCCAAGAAGACTTGGCAAACATAACCCACAAGTGTGAGTTTGACAAACTACAAATCAACCAAGAAAGACCTTTAAAAAAAGTATTTTTGGAACACCCTTCCTCCAAGCAAGGAATCAGACGAGACAGCTAGACGAAGAAAAATGTTGAAGCATCAAGATCAATTCAAGAAGTGTTTCATTCCAAGAAACGCAGGCATCTCAGAACAGCTGGAAAGACTTGAGAAAATCAGGTCACCATGCTCTAAGGGAACATCAGCCTTTTGCTCTTCAAGATCTCACACTCTCTTGGTTCAATGCCAAAACTTCACTTACTGTTAGACCTGGGTATCTTAACAAGCTGCCATGTACAAAAACCACAGAGGCAGAGACCTCCTTGTTACTGTTTTCCAGTTTGAAACAAGAAACTGAAGACAATCTGTGTGGTTTCCACAACTAACTGCCATGGCAAGGGCAAGGCAAACGTCTCTTGCTGCCAAGTTTCTATTATCGACAAATGTTTGGTCTCTTATCTCCTGTGGCAAATGCCACTTTTGGCAGCAGCTCAACTTTGACAAAGTCGACCTTCCTCCCTCTTTCAAACATCTATCAACCACAGTTGACATGTACCATGTCTGGATCTCTTTCCTCTAAGTTTATACTTGTAAAGTATACATTTACAATGAATGTTTTCTGTCACACATACAGAAATATTAGCAAACTTCTAACTTTTCCTCTCTTTGGATCTCCAGTCAAACCTGCCCCGTGGCCACCTGTTCAAGCTGGCCATAACAACCACCTTTTCCTGGTTCCCCCTTTTTATCACCTGCCTAAGAAGACCACTTTATCTCAATCCCCTGTGTGGCCTTCTTGGACAGTCCAGTATCCCTGAAACTTTTTGCAGCTTATCAAAGTGACTGCCATACAATTACAAGGTTCAGTTTAAACTAATCAGGACCTGAAGCCATGGTCTGCAGGTTAAGCCTGTACCAACAGCCTTCCCGGCTGGAGCTCACTGGGCTGGCTTCCTGCCATGAAAAATTTAAAAGCAGATAGAGAAAATCTAAGATAGAAAAAGTTACTGTATCAGTATCACACAGTACCTGAGTACCTCTTCCCTCATGACCTCACTGCATCTTACCTCTTCAATCATGACTACAATGAAAAGCAGCTTGCGGGCCACTGTCTAGCTTCTCATGAAAAAGGAATGGTCCAAACCAGTAGCCAGACAGATAACCAACAGGACCATGGCACAAATTCCTGCCATCCTCCCAACACTACCAACATCAGGTCACCAGGGGTCAAAGGAAGAAGCTGCACAATGTACACCTAGGGTTAAAAGGTCAGCCTAACTTGACACTCTGACAGTTAATCATGAGTACAGCAGTCTGCAGGGCATTCAGTGTCCCTGTCTAGATAAACATGCTAAGCTTATTCTCCACATCTGCCACTCATGGGCCTATCTGCTACTAGAAAAGTCCAAATGCAGAGGCAAGGTTGACAGATTTTAGCTGCATGATGAAGGATTTTCAAATTCATGGGGGGCAGCGTGTGCACTGTAGCCATTACATATTTTAATGAGGAAAGCCATTTAATAACTTTGCGTAATTCAAAGCTCGGGAAACAAACAAGAAAAGCTTCCCATGTTTTCTTCCTGATTTTAGCATTGATAATACATACTATACAGGTGGCCCTCTCTCTTCCATTGAAGGGTTGCTTTTTGTTGACAGGGCTTAAGCTTAATTCATGTTGGCAGTTACTTCTAACTAATCCAATAAAAGTTACCTATGTGGGCCAGCCATCTCAGGTCATATATAGTATCTGTTTCATCTTCCTCCAGCTTAGGAATTGGGTCGACATTTCTTCTGATTACCTTTCTGATTGTCCTTCAAGTCGATCAAGCTCTATTCAGGTCAAGAGGAGTGTTGGTCTGAAGGTTGCACACTACAATGTATCTGGGGTGACAAGTGGGGCAAAACCTGTTGCTGAATCCTCACAATTACAAGCTGCCACTCAAGACTGTCATAAGTTTGTTGTTCAGGAAGCCAGACTGTTATTGAAAAAGCCAACTTCTGGGCTCCAGGGCTAACATTACCCCCAAGAGAAAGTTCTTGGCATTCTAAGGAAGCCCAAGGTCATGTTCAGGCCTTGGAGCCCAGAAACTGACCTGCTAGGCCCTGGCAACAGCCTAGCTTCAAGTTCGTTGTTGGTCATATGCTAGCCTGGGTGTCAGACTCCTGCCAGGGCCAATATACAGCTCCAGGTCCAACATGTCCCATGGAAATTTTCCAACTGTACAGACCCCTTCATCAGGGTCTGAGGGCTGGTCTAGATTTGTGTAGGCCCTGGCAACAGCCTGGCTTCCAGTTTGCTGTTCACAGTGCTACCAGAGGCTGAAAGGTCAGCCACTCTTCTCACAACATGTGCAGTTTGTTTGCAGTCGGAGCCAACAAGGAGAGGGCAACACTTGCCACAGGCTTGTTCTACATCCCCACTAAAGGCCACGGGTCATTCTAACCTCAGTTTGGGCAAGGAGGTTGAAAGGGGATTTCCTTGGTCCAAGAGTACTTGAGCCTGTAGCTTGTAGATGGTTATAGTACCAATAGCAAACACTCTGCTTAAGAGTGCTTATGGAACAAGGGAGTCCACTAGAACTGAAGGCCCAAAATGGACCCTCACCATCACCTTTCCAAGACCTACCCACATACCAAATATTACCATAATCCATTGTGTAGCTGGCCAATTCACACACACACACACACACACACACACACACACAAACAGACAAGCCAAAAACAATACAAGGAGGTACAAGTAAATGCAGAGAATGCTACTTTTTCAATATGAGTGAACTACAAATTATAAAACATCTAGCTTTCAAATTGGTGCTTTTCCAGTATACATGTCCATGAATATAATGATCAAAAATTATTTCTTTTCACCAATATTATATTCTCCTTTTTAAAGTGTAATACATGAAACTCTGCCATCATTTCTATAATTCAATAAACTTTTTGACCAAGAACAAACAGTTGTGTGTTAATCTACAAATCAACATCTTTGAAATAAGTTATTACATAGGATTCTATAGTTCTTTA